ACCAAGTTTGTTCAAATAAAAGCCCTGGGGTCAAAATTGGCCCCGCCCAGGGGGTCATTGATTTTCCCTATATGCATATAGTAAAAACTTAAAAAATCTTCTTTTAAAGAACTGTAAGAGCTAAAGCTTATATATTTGGCATGAAACATCTTCTAGTGAATGTCTACCAAGTTTGTTCAAATAAAACCCCTGGGGTCCAAATTGGCCCCTCCCCAGGGGTCATTGATTTTCCTTATATGCATATAGTAAAAACTTATAAAATCTTCTTTTAAAGAACCCAAAGAGCTAGAGCTAAGATATTTAGCATGAGACATGTTCTAATGGGTGTCTACCAAGTATGTTCAAATAAAAGCCCTGGGGTCAAAACTGGCCCCGCCCGGGGGTCATTGATTTTCCTTATATACATAGCAAAAACTTAAAAATCTTCTTTGAAAAAACCCAAATAACTAGAGTTTAGATATTAAGCATGAAACATCTTTAAGTAAATATCTACAAAGTTTGTTCAAATAAAAGCCCAGGGGTCAAAACTGGCCCTGCCCGAGGGGTGTCATTGTTTTTTACTCTATGTGTATAGTAAAAACTTAAAAAATCTTCTTTTAAAAAACCCAATGAGCTAGAACTTAGATGTTTTGCATGAAACATCTTCTTATGGGTGTCTACCAAGTCTGTTCAAATAAACAAATAAAAGCCCTTGGGTAAAAATTGGGCCCGGGGGGGGGGGGGGGGGGGGGGGGGGGGGGGGGGGGGGCTATATACAGGTGAGCGACCTCAGGGCCATCATGGCCCTCTTGTTTCTTTTCAAAATTGTTATTTTAAATTTCTTACAGAAAAAAATGTGATACAATTTTCAGATGTGCAATATTGAAGTTTGTTGAACTGCTTAAATGCAGGTTGTTTTCTCTTTTACTTCATTACGATTAGCAAATAGTATGTTCCAGTTACTGGTAAAAATACAGAGTAATTTTTTTTTAATATGAAAGTACTGTGACTAATACTTAATTGTGTAAGTATTGAGGTTTTTTTTGCAGGATTAATGCAAAAAATATTTAAGTATTAACTGTTCTATATTATTTTCCATGTACAAAATATTTCTCACACTGTTAGACGGACATATATTTTTTGTCTTGGCCAGTAAATTTATAAAAGTTAGATATTTGATAAAATATTTCTATTTTTAATTGTTAAATAGCTTTTTTTTATAGATGTTTTTTTCTGTTACTGTTATTTTTTTTCAAACCAGGGCTTTACAAGACTGAAGACTAATTCAGGTAACTTAAAAGTCTTTAGACCAAAGATTATTAACATTAAGAAAGAAATGGCAAACTGATATATAAAATTTACCATACAATGTTTTTTTTTTCAATTCAAGGGAGTTTACTTCTGATACAACTGTGTAAAAATGAATTACTTCCCCTTATTTATAAACTCAACAATTTTAAAATTAAAGCATTTATTATCAGGCAAGTTAACAAATTATGATAATCATTAAAAACTTACTTGAATGCTTTGATCATTGAGAAGAGGTCGCTGACGCTCAATGAGTGTTTTTTTTAGACAGCTCACAATCAAATTTCTAAATGAGGATTTGTTGAATTAGTTTAACTTGTAGTTTTTATGCGGTTTTACTTTTATGTAAATATAGTTATACCGGTATAATTATTTTCTAACCAATATTTCCTGTAATGTGCTTGCAATGTGATGTTATAAATGTTATATAAGCTATGAATGATTTCATGTGTTAGATTTCAGTTGTTTTAAAAATTATATGGGTTATTACGCTAATAAATCAATAAAAACTGTATTCTATTTCTTGTTTTTTCAGTTTGTTTAATGATATTTATTTAATAGCCCATTATGCCCCACCCCTTCACCATATTTTTTTGTTTTGTTTAATTTCACAAAATCTTATTATTGGTGTAGTTCTATATTTAATAAAAACTGCATTTTGTTTATTGTTTTTTCCTCTTCAGTTTGTTAAATTCTATTTATTTAAAGGCCCATTATGCCCCCACCCTGCAACATTTTTATGCCCCCACTTAGTGGGAGCATATAGCGGTGCACTTGTCCGTCCGACCGTCCCGAAATCTTGTGAACGCAACTCCTCTTAAACCGGATGACAGATTTTGCTTAAACTTCCAGGGATGAACAACCTTAATGTGTAGAATCTACATCTGATGGTAGTAAAGGGAGGAATATTTGCTGCGACCAAATTTAACAGAATTATGGCCTTTTGTTGTTGTTTAGTTTTCAACTTGTGGCACATGTAGTCCAAAAAATATTTGACCTAGAGTCATAAGATTGACAGAACAGTGGCATGTGGGGGCATCCGTACATGTCCTATGGACACATTTCTAGTTTTTTTTTAAATTTCTCAAAAGCTTATTTTTTGGTGTACTTTTATAATTAATAAAAACTGTATTCCGTTTCTTGTTTTTTCTTTTCAATTTGTTAAATTCTATTATTTAAAGGCCCATTCATCCCACCCCAATTTTTAAAAAAGAAATTCAAAAGCTTATAAGTTTTTGCGTACATTTATAATTTCCTAAAAGTTGCTCATTGGCCAATCATTTTTTAACCTGCTTCTTCATTTCTTCAGTTGTGTTTTGGAAATAAGTTCACTTATAAAGATTTAGTATTTTGTATAGCAGTCAAAAAACTATACGGAACCAAAAAAGAAACTCGCAAAGTATGTGCCAGTTGTTCAAGGGTACCACTTAGATGTACACACTTATATACATGTAGTAGCTTGTAAAACTCGTTTTGTTTGCAAAATCGGTCAGCTAATCCCCGTATAAAAGCCTGATATGTTTATTCAACGTAAAAATCGAGTTTCAAAAAGATTGAAAAACTGTACTAACATATCTACATTCAAACTTGGAGAAAGTTTCTTTTTTGTTTCAGTATACTAAATTGATTTACATTTTGCTACTTTTATGACAAAATGTATTGCCACATATAGCACCACTTTCTTCAGGTAACCTGCAACCAACATGCTCTAAAACCATTATTCAAATGTTACAAAATTCATGTTTGTCACAATATTTCTTTTGTTTCTAGAGGCTTTATGTGCCTTTAACCTTAATTACCCTGCTGGAACCGAAAGTGATTTAGTCTACATAGCAGTATTAGTTCTGACCAGGCTCTAAACTTAATGTTGCTACCCCAATTTTGTATCTGTATATTGAAATCGATATCTAGCTCAAACAAGAGCTCCAACGCTCGTCTATTAAAATAACCACATCTGACAATAATTCTAAGTTGAAAAGGGCATAACTCAAAAAAAATATAGCTTTCTTATTAAGCCCCTTGTTGAACAACTGCACCTTGTCATGATAAGCAAGTATTCCAAGTTTCGTGTTGAAAACTTTAGAAAATGTTTGATAAATGGGCTACATTGTTTTGCACCCCAACAACAACGACTACTATGCAGGGATCATAATAGCTTGTCAGCTGACTTTTTTCTTTGAAACAGACAGGCTAATAATGAAATGCCAGACTACATTGGACATATATGAGCCGCGTCATGACAAAAACCAACATAATGGGTTTGCGACCAAACCCAAACCCATTATGTTGGTTTCGTCATGACGCGGCTCATAAATATTACCCATTAATTTCTATAAACTGGCTCCATATAATCTGACTCCATTCTACAGTGATGGCAATTTCTTTTGGAAATTGAAATCCCTGTAGGTAAACTAATGATGTGCAGCCTGACGGGGACTCGAACCCAGGACCTAGAATAATGTTCCGCAGCTCTACCTAAATAGTCAGTTCTGAACAATGACATATTCTATGGTAAGATTTAGGGATTTCAGTTACCAAATGCAAATATAAAGCGGTTTACTGCATATATCAACCAAGTATAATTATCAAGCGTTCAACAGCATTTCGGAGACCAACATTTACATTAACAGAATTATCATTTAAATGGACCGAAATGTCTAAATCTGGAAAAATGCTGATTTTTTTCTTTATATTACAAGTTGTTTTTTTTCTTTCGAAAACAATTTTTTTAATTGAACTACATTGTTATAATATATAGGTATAACCTATAATAGGCTATTTTAGTTTTTGAAAAAATAATTGAGAGAATGTAACAAAGGTTCTTAAGAAAACCTTCTTTAGTTTAAAAAAAGGTAAATAATAATAACAATTTTAAATACCAGAAATAATTAGAATAATTACTACAAGTATATATATATACTAAGCTTGTTCTGTCATTGATCTTGTTTACAACTGATTGAAATATTTACACTTGACTGAAAATTATTGTTAAATTTTATCCCCTGCTTATGAATAATTTAGCACAAAAAACACAATTGTTACAAATCTAGGATTTAGGCCAGTGCTAATTATATATTAACTTTTTTTTATCATATAGGTACTTATATACGAAATATTGAGAAAATTTGATATTGATAAAAATAAAATGTGTATTTTTATTTTCCGTATTTTCACTGTAAGAATTTATTTTTCACTGCAGTGAAACATATTTTCTGTATTTTCATTGGTGTCTTGCCGGACTACTTTCTTCTAAATTCAGCAAAAACACAAAATTATAAGGGCATTCTTCCTATTCATACTTTTTTTTCTTCTATTTATCATAATACAGGATTTATTTTCATCTTGTGGAATGAAAATTATCATATTTCACTTGTGGCTAATGCCACTCATGAAATATTTATTTTCATACCACTCAATGAAAATAAATCCAATGAAAATAAATCCTAGATTTATAGTTCTGTAATCAAATAATTCTGCCTCATTAATTTAAAATATTTTGAGATTTTGAAGAAATTTGCTTGAAGTATCGAATAATGTTTGGAGTAAAGTGTACTTAAAATCTTTCTGCCTTATGAAAAAATATTTTGATTTTTGAAGAAATTTGCTTGAAATAATATACTACATTTAGGGCTTCAAGGCTTTGCTAGATAAACACGTAAACACAATTTTTAACACTATTGGCCTTTAACAATTACAGTACACTAAAACAGTAATTTTCGACCAGTAACAAAAGCAAAACATGTTTATTGTAAAGGATTGGGAATAATTGTGTTAAATATTTCCAACATTATTTTCTACAGTTTGTGCGATACAGGCAATATTTGATGATGTGAGTATATTTTATGCATATTTCATTCTTTAAGAAAGTTGTCAGCATTTACTATTAGAGCTATATTGTATTTACCCTGGCATCCAAATATAATGTCACACTTTGGTTTAGTTTTTGCATACAAGATGGTATCTCCAATACTACTGCTTGAAACTTCGCACACTAATATTTGAGAGCATAATTTTTTTAGGATTCGTCACTGTTTTTAAGACCAAAAAAATGTTTCAAAAAGGGGCTGCATAATTCTGTGAAATTCCATGTAAGGGTTATGGGTCTTGGTCAGTGACCTCCTATTATACTCTCAAATAAGGGTGTGAAGTTTTAAACCCCCTTAAGTACTTTTTTGAAATACCAATTTAACCAAAATGTGAAGCTGACACCTGGGTGAGTACTATAGCTCTTAACATCCTTCAGATAGTCAAGCTAAAACTGACGAGAGTGGTGGCTTAATGGTTGTTTGCCTCTCCACCCAGGGATCATGGGTTCAAACCCTAATTTGGTCATACCCATGTTTTTTATATTAAACCAGTACTGGTTGGTTCCAGGAAGCGGACTTGAAAGTGATTTAATACACGTTGCAGGAACTAAAGCTAAAACTGTATGCAAGTTAAATTTCATGTTTCACACAAGTTCCTCTTGCCACAGCATGTTGGGTATGTATCAATTATAAAATTATGTCTAAGAATAAATGGTGCCGATTAAGTTGCAATATGTACAACACTCTGAGTCTGTAATACAATTTTCAAAGTCATTTGACATAGATAATAATGTTTAACAAAAACAAACAAATTTTTGAGTTACTGTATTTCAGTGAGTGGGGAATTAACTGCATTTTAGTAAGTTTGGATATTTACTGTATTTGTGTAAGTGAAGATTTACTGTATTTCAGTAGGTTGGAGTTTTACTGTATTTAATTATTTGTTATCAAAATTAGCATTTTTTAGCCAATAAAACCTGTTATAATTATATTATAAAAATTAAACATTTTTTTTGCTGTCGAATAGAGATCTGAGAGATCAATAAATAACATTGAAAGAAAACAAAAAGAAAGAAAAAAAGAAGTTGACCCTTCAAGGGTTTGAACCCAGGACCCTCAGTTTCAGTACAGTTGGTCAACAGAAGTTCTAGCCTATTTGAATTCTGTTCAAAGCGGAAGTACTGCAGTAGGAAAACTATACTTTAATGAAAGAATAAATCAATAAAAGCTTGTACTTTTTTAATCACTTTATTTAAAACAAAAAACAATAGGCACCAAATAAAATTGAACCATATTTTGTCCTTAAAATACTTACTTCAAGTAATAACACTCTTAAAGCAGTTATTAAAAATTTGAAACAATATCTAGAAACATCAACAACAAGAGTCAATGTCTAGTGGGGACCACATCGAAAACATATAATACATTGCCAAATAAAATATTGCAATATCCAATATATACGGAATATACTGCACAACCCTATAAATGGGTGAATATCATAATAAAATTCAAACATTTGACCTTAAAAGTCAAGTTCATTAAAGAGTAAAGGTCAAGTTCAGTCCAGTATATTTGAGGGTAAACGTGGCAAATTTTCGTAAAAATTTTCATTTTTACGTGGTAAAAAAAAGTGGCAAACGTTTAAGTTTCTGGATGGTAACAGCAATTGGTTAGAGAATGACAACCTGACTCAGTAGCAATAGCTCAATATTTTTATTTGTAAAAGTCTAAGCTAAAAATGATAATAAACAAAACTTGTATCAGTAACAATATTTCTAACATCAGAAATCAAAACCATAAATATTTTTTAACTGAATTAGATAAAATAATAAACATTGTAATCTAATTTTTTGTGATACAGAGTTATGTGTCTCTGTATGAGTATTAAATTATCATACGTCACTTTTGACTATCATTATACATTTGTAACAGGGTTGTTAAATGAAAATCCTCATTTACAACTTGTACAGTGGAACTTCTGTAAGTCTAACATGAAGGAACTTGGGCACATTGGGACTTCAACACATAAAATTTCGAGTCATATACAGGTTTTTATGAAAAATATATAGGGGGAAAATCGGGACATTGATTTTACATCAGTATATTGAGAAAATTCATTGATTTATTCTATATAGACCACTAAAAAACTTTGACACATCAAAAAAATTCAACACATGAAATTTTGACTCATATATAGGTTATTATAAAGAATATAAAGGGGGAAAATCAGAACTTTCATTTTACTTCGGCACATCGAGAAATTTTATCAATTTATTTCTGTATGGACCACACAAAAAATTTGACACCGTAAAATTCGACACATAAAAATTTGGCTCATATATAGGTACGCATAAAGAATATGTAGGGGAAAAAATTGGGACTTTCATTTTAACTTCAGCACATTGAGAAATTTTATCAATTTATTTCTGTATGGACCACAAAAAAACTTCGACACATCTAAAAGTTTGACATAAAAATCTGGCTCATATATAGGTTTTTATAAAGAATGTCAAGAATGTGAAGTTCGACTCATAGACATTCTATTGTATTTAACTCAAGAAATCTGTGCTTGGCCACATTTGCAGAAGTGTACAACACAATCCACTCTTTTACTATATAGGTCAAATATAAGTCCCAGATCAAGAAATTCTTACAATGATTCTTTTCTTATAATTATGTACTTTATATCACTGAAACAACAGTTTCAATCTATTGTAACGCAATTCTAGGCCATCAGAACAAATACACATAGTGACAATACAGTATCAAAAAGATGTAAATCTAGTTGTGTCACAAGTTACAATATATACTTGTACAACACAATAGCATATTCCACAATCTTGAACACTGTACAACAAGGTAGAGAATAATACATAGTACATAGCCATTAATGTACAACACATAGTTTCAAAATCAGGAAATAAAGCAATATCAATACATGGAAAAAAAAATTTAGTTAACATTTACATATTTTTCTGGTAAAAATCTTTTGTTAATTTCTATTAATATGAAACACTATACAATAAACATTTATGCATGAACTTTAGATTACAGTTAAGTATTTTTCTGGAGAAAAAAAATCTTTTATCATTTTTAATCATGGTTATATACAATGTTTAACTTTTTTAAAGTAAGCAATGCTCGGTTCTCATTAACAATGAGAACAACAATATGTTAACATTCCACAGTCACTGTGAGTTTCATAATGATGTTACATTAGTTATATCAGAGTTTACACATATACAATACTTTTTAACTTCCAATTATATCATGTAATATCATTTTTAAGGGACTCCACTGAGGTTTTTTGACATGATGGGACTGGAAATAATTTATCGAGATTAATGATCCATTCAATATAGGCATAGACCAATAGCTTGTGTGCAAAATTTCAGATCATTCGCTCACTTAAGGTTTATCCAAAATAATAATTTTATGAAAAATGACAATAAAGCGTTGCTACACTTTTCAGTCAAATCGAGCTAAGAATAGCACACAAATATGATTTTCAATTTATTTACGAGTATATTTCTCAATAACCTTTTGCATCTTTTCTGTTTTAAGTATCCCAACTTGGTCCCTTGGCTGGTTATCTTGGATAACCAGTAATTATCAGTCTCTCCACTCAATGAACCACTCCTTATAATGATAAATCCCAAATGATTTCTGAATTGGCAATGACAGACCAATATATACTGTATAGGTGTAAGTGGTTAAGTTAGCAAATGAATGCAGAAATATTGACTAATTTACCTAATCGGCAAAAATCGCTAACATATCCTATAGCGTAAATATAAAAAACCTGTCATTGAATTCTACCCTTCCACGATTCGCTTATATTTCCTCATGATAAATGTCTTTAGTTTTAAATTCGCTAACTTTTCAACATGAGGAAATATACACTCATACAGTAGAAGAATATTAATTGACAGGTAAAAAATATATTATTAGTGTTACAGTTTGCTTCCACTTAAGGTCATATACATAGCAATATTGTAATACCATGCAAGTAAAAGCTCTTATCATTACAACATGACTTTATCCTTCTTCACACATGCATTTCAGTTATGAGGTGGTGGTATTGGTAGTTTTTCACACTGGACCATGGCAGTAAGCCACACTGAATTGACATACACATCACTTACAAATTTACGATCAAATAACTGTAGATATAGCACTAGCAAAAATGATATAGAAATACAAAATATACTTTGTTAAATTGCTCAGTTTTGCAAGTTTACACATAGACCAGACTTTGTTTAAGTGCTCATTTTCGCAAGCTAACACATACTAGACTTTGTTAAAGTGCTCATTTTCGCAAGCTTGCACACAGACTAAGCTTTGTTAAAGTGCCCAGTTTCACAAGCTTATACATAGACTAGGCTTTGTTAAAGTGCCCAGTTTGGCAAGCTTACACATAGACAAGGCTTTGTTGAAGTCTTCATTTTTGCAAGCTTACACATAGATTAAGCTTTGATAAAGAGCTTAGTTTCTTAATCTTACAAATAGATTAAGCTTTGTTAAATGCCCAGTTTCACAAGCTTACACATAGACTAGGCTTTGTTAAATGCCCACTTTCAGCAATCTAATACACATAGACAAAGCTTTCTTTACGTGCTCATTTTTGCAAGCTTTCACATAGATTAAGCTTTGATAAAGAGCTTAGTTTCTTAATCTTACAAATAGATTAAGCTTTGTTAAATGCCCAGTTTCACAGGCCTACACATAGACAAGGCTTTGTTAAATGCCCAGTTTCACAAGCTTACACATAGACTAGGCTTTGTTTACGTGCTCAAACTTACAAGCTATCAAACTGTAATGAACGATTAACAATCTGGAATCATAATATTCATTTCAACAGTGTCAGGAAGACAGCATGAATTATGGCCACAAAGAAATATTCAATTTTCACAAAAAATCTTCTACATTTCTTAACAAACAAACTCGCACAATAAACACAAGATTTCATCTGAAAACATAATCAGTTTTACACTTTTGGTAATTTGGATAAAATGCTTAAATGCGTTAAAAGTCCCCAATGATCGCTACAGAATCTTTGACAAGATTTTAATCTTTCTATTCCAATCAATTCAAAATAAACCGGTTGGATAACTTCTGGTTTAGAGTTGCGAAGGTATAAACGATCGAAGCGACATTTGGGCTTGAACTGATGACTCCATTCTAAGTTGTCATTACGCTGCATGTCCCAAGTGAATTTTGCCTCAGGACGTTTGCCAGTTTTTTCCCAGATGTCAGTAATACCATCAGGAAGGCCCCCTATTTCAGCAAGCTGGAATATCATAAACATGTGTGTTAATAAAGAAACGTGAATTTAATGTGACATAATGCCCATCTAAGTAGGGCTGTTATTGCATATCGCAATATCAACATATGATTAATATTCATCATCCGATACGATATTGATACAAATTTTCATACATCAATACAAGCTAAAATTTATTTATTTCTGTTAGTGAATATACCTCTCTATTTTGCCTAATAAAAGAAGACACTTTTAACCAGTTTTCTTGGAACTTTAAGCTCCGTTTTCAAATGTCAGTGGCAAAAATAACAAAAAAACAATTTTTCTGTTAGTTTGTAGTATTTGTAATGTCTGATACAAGCATGCATAACACCATGATCCCAATTTATAACACAAATGTTTTTCAGTGTATCTACTGTCAAAGTCGACATATCGCTATATCATCAATATTTGTCTCTCAATACATCAATACAAAATATTACATCAATGACAGCACTACATCAAAATGTAAATGGTGCGTGAACAAGTAAACATTAAAAAAAAAACTTTACATTTTGCAATATATGTGTCAGATTTTATATTTGATAATCAATTATCCATGTGACCCATGGACAGTTCTGTAAATATCATTCAGAATGTATGATTAATTTCTATAAAGAGTGGGGCAGTCTTTTTATAAGGAGCTTTTATATCATGAACACTTTGTTATCGATTATTCCTCAATCACCATTCAATATATGAGTTAATCTCTTGAAATAAATTACTAATGTAACTCAACTTGACAGCAAAAAATTGAGCATGTCACTTAAATCAAGTTAATAACCTTAAGCTGTTTATGACACGTGTACAAATATTAAACATGTTATGCCAACATTAGACCGAGAAAGATAGCCAAACAATTCCTCGATACATTAATCAAGTTCGCAACTCGTTATAACATGTAAAATCTTCATCTAAATAAAGACATGTTACATAAATTTTGTATAAATCATGTGTATAATTCAAAAGAAGATTAATATAATGTTTCCTGGTTCACATAAATTTTGTGTACAACTGAAGAGAAAGATTAAGATAATGTTCACCGGTTTTCACATTAATTTTGTTTACATCATGTGTACAATTGAAAAGAAGATCACGATGTTTCTCGGTTTTCACAAAAATTTTGTGTACATCATGTGTACAATTTTTTAAGAAAATTACGATAATGTTTCCCGGTTTTCAAAAATGACTTTAATAAACAGTTCAACTGGAAGCTTGAGACATTACAATAGAAACTCCAGCATGAGGAAATGGTCCCAACATCAGTAACTTTTTTTTTTTTAATTGACATATTGAATTCTTTAAAGAATTTCAATTCTATAGCTCTCGAAATAACTGGAAAAAAACTTTTAACATTTGCTTATTGTTATCTATTCATGCTTACCTTTAACATTTCAAGGGTAATTCACTTTTTCATTTTTAACTTAATGATTAATTAAAGTTAATGACTTTTGACATCATTTTGTAAAATGATGATGAGGGTCGATTTCTTATGCCAGCGATCATAGACTTCTTCTGATTACTGCTGTATAAAGGTGGTATTTTTATTTGGTAGTGTCACATTTTTAAATCTATTGGTAAATTAACCATCATACCCCTGAAAAGAGCTATTTATTTCCTTGTTGTTTTATTTGGTAGAGTCACGATTTTAAATCAGTCAGTAAATGTTACCAAAAACTTAACCCCCCTGCTCCAGAAAGAGCTTTTTACCTCCTTGTTATTTTTTTATTTGGTAGAGTCACGTGTTTAAATTGGTCGGTAAATGCTACGTACAACAAATCCAACCCTCACACCCTGAAAAGAGCTTTTTACCGCCAACAAATCTAACCCTCACACCTCTGAATAAGTAGCTTTTTACCTCTTTATCTCTTAGATTAAGATCTCCACCAAACACAACGGTTCTGTCGTCCTCTCTTTTTTGCATGTACTTCAAGCATTGTTGTAACTGCTGCTTTCTTTCATTCCCATAATCCTTGGTGCTCTCCAAATGTGACGTCATCAGAGACATTTTCTCTCCCTTTACAGTACACTAAAATACGAAAGCCAGGGATTTAGCGAACCCAGAATCCTGCATCAAAATATACTCAAAAAGTCCATTTTGATGCACAATTCTTTACCTCATGCACCCAAGTGGATGCATAAAAATGAAATACTGGCTTATTAGAATTTGCTTAAAATCATATAAAACCTTGAAGTACAAGTGTTTGCTACATTTAATATATGATTGTTATCTAATTGAATATAGTAAGGAAATGGTCTTCCTAAATTAGTGTTTGAAAATCTTGAATTAGCAGTTGTGTGGTTTACCACTTTGATCACAACAGGATCTTTAAATTAGTGGTTAGACCCCTTCAATTAATGGTTGAACCCTTTTTATTAGGGATGGCAACGAGTACTCGGTTAACCGAGTACTCGATCGAACGTCGAACGGTTAACAAAATTGATATTCGATTACTCGAAAAAAAAAAAAAATTCTATTTATTTTAGATTTAATGAGATTGGTGTCTAATTAGTTCAGAAATTCGGAGATATACATGTATCTTCATAAATACCTGTAAAATACAATAAAAACATCCTTGAACTCCCTTTTCTTCTTTAAGCATATAAATCCAGAAATATCATTAACTTTTTATATCTTGATAAAGTTTTTGCTTAGAATAAGATATTAAAATTTCCATAAGCAAATGTGATTCAGAACCACTAAACTGGTGGAAAGAAAATGAAAAGAACTTTCCGAGAATCGCGGTAATCGCGAAACAGCACAGCGGTGCCCGCAACATCAGTGCCGTCAGAGCGTATCTTTTCGGCTGCTGGGTTACTTGTGAATAAACTGAGAAACAGACTTTCATGTGAACTTGTTGACAAGATTATTTTCCTCAATAAAAACAGAGTCAGTGTTGTTAAATATTGACATGAAATACATTTAAAAGAAACTGATGTGTAAAATAAAGTACAGCGTAGTGCTGTGACACGTATGCTTGTATAAACTGTATAAAAGATGATAAGATGAACTCAAAGAAAAGTGTTTAATTTTCGTTGAATAAAGACACTGTATTAAGAGAAAAATACGAGAATATTGTTCTTGAATTATTAAATTTATAAAACATATATACATGCTGTCACTGACGATCTCTTATGATGTTTATGATGTTTATATTCATTACGTATTTGCTATATATATTCATTGCCGCCGATCAGGCTATATGATTTCTAGAAGGTAAAATGATATATGAACTGTTACACATGATTTAAACTTGATATGCATTAAATAAAGTTAATAAACATATTATGCTGTTGATTTAATTTGTTTATTGGTTTTTTCTAAGTTACCTCCCTTGCAGTCCTATTTATAGATACGAATTCTGTGAATTGAAATAGAAACCGAAAGTAGCCTGCAGACGGTGTTGATATTGTGTGATTAAACTTTGAAGATTGTTGGAAATCATCCGAGTAACCGAGTACTCGATCGGAAAATTGACCGAGTACTCGAGTATTGATTTTGGTACTCGTTGCCATCCCTACTTTTTATTACAGAGCCTGCATCCATTGGACCCCTTAAATTTGAAAATGACGTAAATCTCTAGATATCTCTACATGTCCAAAAGACATACAGATCAAATGACCTTGACCTTTAACATGTAAACTTGAATAAAAAAGTCATGTTGCAAATGTTAAATAATGAAAGAAATTAGTCATTGAAACTATTGTTTGACAGAAAATCATCACATTAGATAGACCATGAAAATTATTGTATGCTCTAAGCTTAAAAGGTCAAGGTCAAATTGACCTATATCAAACTTTTTGGATGAAGCGACTTAGTTAAGTTTTAGAAGAAATCTCTGAATCCATTAATGAAAGAAAATCATCACATTATATTAACCATATAAATTATCATATGCTCAAAGGTCAAGGTCAAATTGAGTTATGTTAACTTTTTCGACTTAGTTAAGCTTTAGTTTTACTGAGCTATACTTGTATGTGTGAAAATTGCATTAATTACCTTTACAGCCAGTAGGTTTCTCAACATTTTAGTGTTTGGGAATAGTAAAATCTTCGTCTCCTCTACTTGAATGTGACCCGTCTTTAACAACATCGCACAATAATATTCCTCGTCATTGGCCGGTATCATGTGATACATGGGACATTTTTCCTGAATAATCTCCTCCGACTCTGGTACAACTTCCTGCAGGTACACCACATGTGGATCTTCTCTTATTATTGAAAAAGAAAGAAATCCACTCATTATTTTTGCATATTTCTGAATTTTTATAGTTTAGACAAAATTTGGTAAAAAACTTACAACATATTGTATACATCAAGTAAGACAAAGATATCAAATATTTGGTTCATTAACCTCCTTTTATATTCTCCTAATTAGCACATATTACTAAATTTGAATGTAAGAAATAAAATTTTCTATGGCACAGTGCAACAAATTGACAATAATTTTACTTATTGTATTTTTTGTTCTTTAAAATGGGAATTTCCTCCTTGAAATTGGGAAAAAAATCTTTTTGGCTTTGGGATTATGACCATGTATCGGTCATCAAAATAAGCCTGAAAAGAAAAACCTTTAAACAACAAGATTTGTGACACAGAAAGTCCTTGTCTCAAAAGACAATCCATATTGAAGTGGATTGGTCAACAACAGGACACAAGTATTTTAAATATTGATAAAAACTATAGAAAGTTCAGGCTGGTCTGGAAAGATGATTTTGGCTAACCTCGGGTGTTTCATATACAAACTTAAAGCAACACCAGGCGTCAAAATCAGCTCACCTGCTGGAGCTTAGAGATGCATCGACTCCAGTAATTCAAACCCATTCAGTCGCCTCTTAAGACCACACAGGGATAAAAGATGGCTGCAATTCTGATGCGTCAACCCTTTAAGGCAATCCCTAAGCCACTCTTTAACGAGTACAAGTCAAATAGAGAATTTCAGCTATGTAAAACAAGATTGCATTTGAGAAAAATGCTATGCCACCGCATTAATACAACACTAAATAGTAGTGTTGAAACAGATTTTTTTTGTTTCTATACAATTTTGAAGATTGTCATAATGCATAGATCCCTGACCTATCTAATTCTTATTATCAGATTAGTGGTTAAATCTGTTGTTAACTCAATAAAAGATCAGAGTAGGAATATATCAATGCACTTGAGTCTAGTGAATTTGATGGTCATATTTCACACAGCCTAAATTTCATGACTACATCAAAGGACAACACAGTAAGACACTTTGTCAAAATCTAGGTCAGCTGAAATCAAAGTTCACTTAACATCTTAATCTGTACACATGGTTCAAATTTTATAGCTGTACATAAAAGGACAAGAAAGTAGGTCACATCATCAAAATCTAGGTCACCTGATATCAAAGTTCAATTTTACAACTAAAACTGTGCACAATCATGGTCAAAATTTCATTGCTGTACATCAAGGGACAAGAAAGTAGGTCACTGTCCCCTTGGGCAAGGCAAAATTTTGGACCCAAGGGTTTAATTCAAAACAATCTTGATACAGGTCCACCAAACAACATTTCAAGTCAAATATCTAAGCTGTAGCTTTCTCCCATTCAGAAAAGATTTGTTTTATTTTCTGTTTTTACTATGTGAACATAATGAGAATCACTGCCCCTGGGCAGGGCCAATTTTAAAACTAGGGGCATAATTAAAACAACTTTAGTAGAGAACCCATAGATGATATTATATAGCAAACATCAAAGCTCTATGCCTTGTACCTTCAGACAATTTTTTTTTTTTTTTACTATATGTACATAGTGAAAATCAATGACTCCTGGGGGTGGGGCCAATTTTGACCCCAGGGCTATAATGTGTACAATCTTGCTAGAGGTTCACTACATAATGTTTTATGCAAAATATCTTAACTGTAGCCTTTGTAAATTTAGAGAAGATGATTTTTTAAGTTTTTACTATATACATATAAGGAAAACCTATGGCCCACGGGGCGGGGCTAATTTTGACACAAGAGGCAAAATTTGAACAACTTTGGTAGAGTACCTATAGATGATATCATTTAACAAATATTCAAGCTCTAAGCCTTGTACCTTCAGACAGTAAGATTTTTTGATTTTTTACTATACATGTATGTATATATTGAAAATCAATGACCCCAGGGGCAGGGGCAATTTTGACCCCAGGGCTATAATTTGAACAATCTTGCTAGAAGTTCACTTCACAATGTTTCATGCAAAATATCCAACCTCTAGCATTTGTCAATTGCTAGAAGAAATTTTGTTACTATAAAGTTTTTACTATATACATACATTTGTATAAGGAAAACCAATGACCCCCGGGGCAGGACCGATTTTGACCCCAGAGCTATAATTTGAACAATCTGAATAGAGGTCTACCAGACAATGCCTTATGCAAAATATCTAAGCTCTAGGCCTTTTGGGTCTTTACAAGAAGGTATTTTAAGTTTTTACTATATGTACATATAGTGAAAATCAATGACCCCCGGGGCGGGGCCGATTTTGACCCCAGGGCTATAATTTGACCAATCTTGGTAATGGTCTATCAGACAATGCCTTATGCAAAATATCTAAGCCTTAGGCCTTTTGGGTCTTTACAAGAAGTTATTTTAAGTTTTTACTATATGTACATATAGTGAAAATCAATGACCCCCGGGGCGGGGCCAATTTTGACCCCAGGGTTATAATTTGAACAATCTTGGTAGAGATCTGCCAGACAATGCCTTATGCAAAATATCTAAGCTCTAGGCCTTTTGGGTCTTTACAAGAAGATTTTTTAAATTTATTCTTATAATTCCTTTTGGTTGCCATGGCAACCAGATTTCTGCATGGAATGAAATTCTTTGAACAACTTTGGAAGCCCTTCACCCAAGGATCAATCCTGCCAAGTTTGGTTGAAATTGGACAAGTGGTTTTTCACAAGAAGATTTTTTAAGTTCACTATATAATCTATATAACACACACACAAACACACACACAAACACACACACACACAGGTGAATCGCTATATGCCACCGCATCGCAGATGCTGCGGTGGCATAAAAAATAAAATGTTATAGACTAACTATATAACTTACTTTAAGATAGTGTCACACACACCAAGCGTCCTTGACCGTAAATTTCTTTTGTCCAGACCATCTATGTTCCAGGACATCAGCCGGATTCTAAACGATGGATCCCCTGGTGTCGTAGATCCCGAGCTTTAACAGAAAAACTTAAAGCATGATATTGTTACCTTAGTGCAGTAATGGGTTAACTCCTATTAAATTATATAAGGAGTTAACTGGTTTCTGCACTAAGTTGATATAATATAAAGAGAAAATGAAAAGTTTTCACTACATGCTTTACAAATTTTGAGAGAGACACAAGGTTTTTTCTCAAACATAAATTATTGTTCCACACAGAAATATATTGCATATCCTTTTCAACAAAAAAAAATATTGGATAATCATTTTTAAAACAGAAAAATAATGGATATCTTTATCCACATAAAATAAAACATTAAGATATTTTTTTCCACACAGACAAATATTGGGTAACATTTTTCTACACAGAAATATATTGGGTATCTTTTTTTTTGAGGTGACCTAAAAATTAAGAAATCCAAAAAAAATGAAAGACTTGATGTAGATCTAAGGTTTTTTATATCATATAATAATTTCTAAGTTATTTTGTATCTTAACCCGAAATGCCTTACCAAAAGAATCAACACAACTTCAATATTATCATTTTCATACCTGTTGTTATTATTACTTGTAACTTCAGCAGTATCGACCACATCTGATGAATGTGAGGCACCACTCTCTTCAAAGTAAGAATTTAGGGCTCTCTGATAAATAGAAAATGGTATGCTAGAAATCTGAATGTTATTTTAATGAAAACAGGTACAATGTATTTTATACAGGACAAAATAGCAAAGATAATTTTTTTATGCTTGCAAGTTTGGTTTTAATTTTTTGGCATCTGCAAGGCATTTTTGCCCCCAAAAAAAAGCATATTGTATAAACTAAGACGACCACTGTTTTGGCTAAAATACCTCCACATGCTTCTTTGCCAGGGACATTTTGTTACAGGTCAGCTTGGCTCTTAACCAAGATTAGATGAATCAACTTGCAGTGTCTATTCTAGGACTTCTAAAACGGGGGTTTCTTTAACAGAAAGTTTATTCCATTTGTTGATCTTTTTCCTTCTTTCTCTATGTAAAATTTCCCCCCTGCCTCTAAAAAAATAGGGGGGAGTGAGTCCCCCCATTCCCCCAATCTAGAATAGACAATAGAACTAGGCAAACATTTAATAACAAATCCTAGGTATCCTTCGCTTACAAATATGTATGCATTTCTCAATAAAACTTGTATCTCCATTATTTTGTATATTAAATGTGTAATGGACATTGTTTTGCAAATGCTTGATAAAACAAAATGTGTTTGGTAAACATAAATGTCCCCCCCCCCCCCCACCCCCTTCCCACCTTTTGTCAGTAATACATTTTCCAAAATGGTTTACACATTCATTTTATAGTTAGTGGGGGAAAGATTGCTAAAGATATTAAAACATTTACAGAACTTGATAAAGGTCATTATCTTCAAATTGTTATTGTAAAAATAAATGTAAGTAAGAATGTCATTGCTATTTTCAACTTACACATAAAAGTTAAATCAGATATAGATAAATGTAAGACATTGAACAAAAACCCAGTGACCCCATACTACATCCAAAAATAGAGAACCTATAAAATATGAAAAACATTGGTCAAACAATTAAGTTGTACAGTGACCTTGACCTTGTGACTCCCAACCCTGGACTATCTTAGGTATATTCTTTCTACATATGAAATGACTTCAGTCAATGAACAAAGGCTGTAGGAGCAAATGTGTAATAAAAACACTATTTTTAGCACCTTTGTCCTTCACCTGCTGACCCCTAACTCCACTCAGAAAAGAGGACTACTATAGTTTAACATATAGCTGAGTAATACCATGTACTTTGTACTGAAAAAAAGTATGTCAATTATGATGCCACTAGCATAGGTAGAACTTGACATACATATCCAAATTGCAGGTTTTGGTTTTTCAACGTGCTTTAACAGAAAACTTTGGAAAATAACTTTGAAAAGAAAAAGCCATTGTAAGTAACTAGCCAAGAATCATGTATGATAAGTGTGTAAATTATGAAGCCATATTTATCCAATTTAAAATACTTAGAAAATATCAGATCAATCATTCTACATGTATTTATTAACTTAAACAAATTTAAACAGGACTCTGCTTGTTTGTTTGTTTGATTGGGTCATACATCGCAATGACACAGTATATATAGGTCATTAACTGGTGGAGGAAACCCTCAGGTGCCCTTCCCACCTTCCGTGAATTATTTCAGGCACAAACAGGCACCGGAGTAGAACCAATGATGTTCTGTAAGCCAGCTATATAGCATCCTCACATGAAAGAATCCAATTGTCTTTCAGGTTTCGAATCTACAGCGGTGAGGGCAAGTGGTTCGAAGTAAACAACCTTAACCACTCGGCCATGGATGCCCCTAAACACGAGTCTTCCAACCTGCTTTAAATTTGGTACAGTCCATAAAAATATACAAAATTTAGAATCTGGCAAAACTACATACATGTAAAAATATATAATAATTATGCAATCTGCATGGCCCAACATTATTAAAGGAACTCCACTGAGGTCAAAAAACATACAAAACATAACATTTGATGTTTTACATATATAAAGTGGGACACTTACATGTATTACAGAATGCTATGTAAAAAATAAACTTAAATTCACAAGTAAATAGAAAATCATATTTCTATGCTATGTGTATATTTATATGCTAAATTGAGAAGCATTGCAATGCTATTCAATTCTGGGCTATTTTCGTGATTAGAATAATTATTCTGAAAAACCGGCAGGAGCAAATGATCTGAAATTGTGCACACAGACTTACATGTACAAAAAAAACATAAATCTTGTCATGTCAAAAAACCTCAGCAGGGCCCCTTTAAATGAAGGTATTGCATGATATTCACAAGCACCCCAACAAGTTCAACAATTATATTTAAATTCAATTATTTGAAAACTATTTAAAACAGTTACCTGACTCATATTTGCAAATCCTAACAAACATGCACAAATAAAAATGAATGAGATGTACTAAAGACGGATTATCATAAATCAAACTTAATTTTACTGGCTAAATACCCAGTATTTGAATGATAACACTATTTGCATTTTATGCCTTGCAGAAGAGATAAAAATTTGATAGGAGTACGAATCATTGACATGTATACATGTACATGTAGTTTAAAGTAGAACCCTTCTAATGCATTATCTCCCCTTTGAAGAGTATTCAAATAGGCTACAAACATTGTCAACTGCATTCAAGTGTGAAGTCATTCCATTTGAATACAAGTAAAATGGTTTCCTGCGGGGAACATTTTTAATGATATAAAGATATTTCATTTAACTATTTTCGACATTGTTTGGGGGAATAAATAAACGGTTTTATCAGGAATATAGTTGACAATAATCGATCAATATAGAAGAAGGTCTTTGGAAACTGGTGACCGTAAATGACCGGAGAAGGTCGAACATAAAACAATTATTTCTTTTTAAGAAAATGATTAAATAGGCCTACCATTTTATGAATAATTACGAGCAAAAAAAAAGTAAACACACAGTGTTCGAAATTAGCAGTAGTCCGATAGCCCCTGACTACTAAATTTCTCCTCGGGCTACCAATTTTTCACAGTAACAAGCCCGAACAGACTACTGTATTTTCAGAGGCACTATAAACAACTGTTTTGAACAAATGAATCGTGCTAGTGAAATGTCTTTTGGGCTAGTGTTTATTCCAATCTGGTAGTCCGACCAGCCTAGTGGATTCAAATCCGAATTTCTTACACTGAACACACAACTTTACGCAGAAAATATCTCTATTTATTCTGGCACATGCCACTACGAATATTTTAATTTTGTAGATGTTCAGTATAAACAATTTATTGTTTGTAAAATTTGAGATACATATTAAAGAAACATTGATAATTTTCAAACACATCATTCAAGTTTTTCCACCTTAAACAGTAAAATAATTATAGAAAATTAGAAATATCACGTAAAAGTTTGTTGTTTTTAATTAGGTGTCACTCTGACTAATTCCCTAGAGGTAAATCCGTAACGTACCGGCAAACGGTATTTAGCCAGGTTTTCGAAAAGGTCAATTAACCAATCATGTACGGTTAACAGATCACATGCTCCTCCATGTACCGAAAACAGGTCACGTGCTCCTCCATGCCTCAAAAGTTAAACGCGTACCAATACCCTGCGGTCTCCAGACCGCAGGGAATGAAGTTGTAGCCATGCGCAGTTATAGCAAAAAAACTGGTAATATAATAATTTGACCTTAAATGTCAATTTCATTTATAGTTCAAGCAAAAGTGACATTGGTATCCTTAAAGACATTGTCCTAAAGGTACAGTGGTTGTGCTCTGAGGTATGAAGACAGTCCATTCTGGAGTAACACAGTTATAGCCAATTACAGCAAAATTCAAGCAAAGTTCAATAATTTGACCTTGAATGTCAAGTTCTCATTGATGAGTTAAGGTCATAATCAATTTAGTCTGCTCTTGTTTAAAGGATTGTTGTGCTGAAGTATGAAGACAATTCATTTACAAATAAAGAAAGTTATAACCAATTATAGCAAAATCAATCAAATTTAAACAGTTGACCTTGAATGAAGGTCAAGGTGACTGGTCATTTAAGAGTCAAAATGAAAATCAGTCTTGTCCAAAGGGTTGTTGTGTGCTAACATAAAAATCTTTACCAGAAAAAAAAAGGGGGGGGGGGGGTGACTTGTGGCCAAATCAACTAATTTTGGTCTGGTTTGTATGGTGGCAAAGAGGTGATATGTGTGTGTTTTTATTCATCTCATGTGCACGAGATACTATGTCTTGGCCATGAGTTACTAAGTCTTGGCCACAAGATAATTAAGTGGTGTACACAAGATACTTTGTTGTGGCCATGAGCCACAGTCATGGCCACAAGATAATTAAGTGGTGCGCTTGAGATTCTATGTCATGGCCATAGAATTGTCCCCACAAAGGGCCATAATTTAGTCAAAATTAAATTCTGATTTATGGGCCTTTGGAGGTGATTTTCTTAAATGATCCTAAAGGCATGTATCAAGTTTAAATTGAATATCTTCAGTATTTTGCATGTAAAACTATCAACAGGAATTTTCTAAGTTTAAAAAATTCATATATAAATTGTGTAATTGATTGGTTAATTAAATGTATCTGGTGCCCATAAATTAATTATCTCAGTCCCATGACTAAGTAACTTGTGGCCACAACATAGTCTTGTGTGCACTACTTTAGTATCTTGTGGCCATGACTAAGTAACTCTAGGCCATATCGTAGTATCATGCTCATTACTTAAATTATACTCATGGCAACGATATAATAATAGTATCTCGTGCGCACGAAATAATTAAAACCCACAAATGTCACCTTTGTGCCAACGTTCTTGTTACTGAATCTGAACTTATGTTTTTGTGTTTGAAGAAAGTCTGTTCCAGTTGCATATAGTTCTGGGCAAAAATCTGACGTTCAGAAATATATTAATTGGCTTGAAGTTTAATTCTTGAATAAATAATTGGTTTTGATCAATTTGCTTTTTGGAGATTTGTAAATAGGTTTCTTGAAGGTAACAACAGGACTTGGGACTGGTTTGACTTGCACGGCAACATTGACCGGTAGTTACATATATAGTTGGTTGTGATAAATTATAAAATAGCTCATGTCATGAGCTCTGCACTGTAGTGTAAATTGAACAGTTAAGAATGACAATAGAATTAAGAATTACATCTAAACTCCAGTCCCTATCCTGTAGATAAAACATTGCAAGTGCAGTATCTGTGCCTGTTATTGCTGCAAACTCCTGGCATCGTTCCTCACATTCAGCAGTAGAGGGCAATTTACTTTCATCAACTTCTGAATCACTCATCCTGACTTTCCCGCAATTCGGTGAGGTTTTACCGTATCCTCCGAAACGTTCCGAATAATGTGTATATTGGTATCCGGTCTTAGTAATAAAACTAAATTAAACTCCCGCACCTCAAATCGGGTACCAGACTCCAATAAACACATTTTTATTTTAGACATTTGATTGTTTTGGAATTGCATTAAAGGTAATTTGTTAAAAATAGTGAACGTTTAACTTTTTGTTACTAGAACGATAGTTTTCTATAAAGAAATGTAATATATCAATAGTCATTTACTGGGAAAACGGTTTGCACCATATTTAACTAGTTTTCGCGACTTGAGAATTCTGCATAGACTATCGTGGTCCTATAAATATGATAGTGCTTGATCTGACATAAACTGTAAAAAGCCCGTTACTTCTGATATTTGGGACTTAGTCCATCGAAGAGGTAAAAAAGCAAAATTTTTAGTTTTAAGAATAAATATTTAACAAAATTATTTATGCATATGCATTTATTATGATGAATTACCAACAAAAGTTCTTCAATATTGTGCAGAAGAACTAGCACCAGCAATCTCAACTATATTTCAAACATCTACCGACTCGGGAAATTTACCCTCCGATTGGAGAAATGCCTTCGTTTCACCGGTCTTCAAAAAAGGGGACAGACACCTCCCAGAAAACTATCGACCTGTATTCTTTCCAAACTACTGGAACACATTATTTGTCGGCACATCTTGAATCATCTGGATAAATACAAAGCACTTACGTCATTGAATCACGGATTCCGAAGCGGCTTCTCATGTGAATCACAACTACTTGTCACCACTGACCACTCATGATCTTTTATCCATGTACGATAATAACGCACAAGTAGACACCATCATTTTGGACTTTAGTAAAGCTTTCGATACTGTTCCCCACAAAAAGCTTCTTCATAAACTTCACTCCTATGGCATCAGAGGAAACTTACATACTTGGATCGCCAACTTCTTGATGCAGCGCAAGATGAGTGTAGTCGTTGAAGGCGAACAATCATCGTCGGTAAATGTGGGTTCTGGAGTCCCACAGGGTACAGTGCTCGGACCATTGCTCTTCTTACTACATATTAACGATCTTCCGGACCATGTTAAATCACAAGTGAGGTTGTTTGCTGATGATTGTTTACTATATCGCCAGATCAAGTCCCAAAAAGACCATCTCCAACTTCAAAAAGACCTAGACAATCTCCAAACCTGGGCAACTACATGGGGGATGAAATTTAACTCAAAAAAATGTTACCTGCTGAGTTCGAAGTCAAAATCGATGCATTTCTACAACATTGATAACAACATACTTCAACAAGTTCAAGTTAATCCTTACCTTGGTATCACTTTCTCGGATGACATGAAATGGTCAACGCATATTAGTAACATCTGTAAAAGAGCTAACTCATCTATTGGATTCCTAAGAAGGAACTTACGCCATTGTCCTAAACCATGCCGCAAAAATGCCTACCTAGCCCTAGTCCGCTCCAAATTAGAATACGGATGCACTATCTGGGACCCTTATACCAAAAACGAAATTGATAAACTTGAACGTATACAAAGGCAAGCCGCTCGATTTATTACCAATAACTATACTTCTAGGGATCCAGGATGCGTTACATCAATGCTGGAACAATTGGAATTACCAAGCCTCCAAGAGCGCAGAAGACTACACCGGCTTACTTTCATGTATAAGGTAGTGGAAGGGCAAGTACCGGCAATTAACATACGGGAATACCTAACTCCTCAGGGCATTAGACGATCTGTAAGAGCTAAATCATATAAAGACTATATAAGTGATAATATTGTGGAAAAATCTGTGTGTAATAATCAAAAGTGTTACAAACCAGTATATGTAAAAACAGAAAACTATAAAAATTCTTTCTTCATCAGAACAGTGTTAGACTGGAATAAATTAAGTGACTCTCAAGTGTGTTCATCAACAGTTCAACAATTTAAAAACTCTATAAAACTTTGTGACTAAGGCGCACTCCCTTCACCGTCGTGTTAAAGCCAGATTTTGGTCTCTACGACATACCCTCACAGATACAGATACAGATATTCTTTTATCAGTTTGCCCAGTAAATTTTTGAATTGAATCAATTTTAATCACAGGCACGAGTATCGGACCTTGGATGAAAAAATATGACCAAAAAAAATGTAAATAATGACCCCCTTTAAAATATACTATAAGTTAAGTTAACTTATAGTATATTAATTTTTAAAGGGGGTCATTTTTTACAATTTTTTTTTGGTTTTTGACACTTTTAAGATGAACACAGGTTTTATTATCAATCTGGTCATATTTTTTCATCCAAGGTCCGATACTCGTGCCTGTGATTTTAATCACATTTATACATAGAATCAATGACAATGAAATTTATAAATGTAGTCAATGAATCAATGTTGTGAGATGGACTTTGTAGTTAGTACTTTACTTTACTTGTCCATAGTCCTATATATTTGACGCTGCTTTGAGATCTTTTCACTTTTGGCAAAGCAACCATTTATCAAGCTTGAGCATCTTAAACTTTAAGAGTCTTACGATCTAATATCTCAGACTAATTCCTCCTGTGATGTGTTCGAGAATTGTTGGTCAACTCGTCCATTAACTGGTCACGTATTTTTCTTCATTCTATTATTACCATTCAAAAAATGCCATTTGAAGAAGTGTAAAAATTAAGTGGGTTTATACTTGAAAATTCACAAATTGACACCCAATGGAGATACATATGTTTCTATGCTTTATCATATTTCACAGCTTAGAACAGTACACTATTTAGGAACGAAAATGTGTAAAAAGCTGGATAGCCCAGCCAGCGAGGACCATCATGACTCTCTAGTTAATAAACTATTCTATTAAGCAATTTCAATTCAATGAGACATACATTTGTATTTCAGATTAAATTTTAATGTAAATCTTTTCCTTTTATTCTTCTATTTAGAAGCATTTTAAAAAGTGACTTGTTGACAAAAATGACAGGTTGACCAGTTCAGGAGAAGTTGACCAAAGAAGGGATAAGATAACCGAAAAGCTGACTAGTTCACCACAGAACGAGTTGACCGAGAGATGAAAAATACAATACATGATAAGATAATGATTAACCTTTTGTTTTCGTATGTTTACAGATCATGGCTGAAAACAATGTGGATGAAACGGTACAAGAGGAGTATTTCAGAAGCTATGGGAATATTGGGGTTCATGAATTGATGATTAAAGACAAGCCAAGGACCCTGGCCTACAAACAGTTTATGGAAGAAAATGTTAATCTTATAAAGAATAAAGTTGTGCTTGATGTGGGTGCTGGCACGGGTATACTGTCATTATTTGCCGCCAGATCTGGGGCCAGTAAAGTATACGCAGTTGAAGCGAGTGATATAGGTATTCTGTGTGAAAACATAGTGAAGGCTAATAAATATGAACGGGTAATAACAGTGATTAAAAGTGTCATGGAAACTGTAGAATTGCCTGAAAAGGTGGACGTTATCATATCAGAGTGGATGGGATTTTACCTGCTTCATGAATCAATGTTAGAATCTGTGCTGTATGCGAGAGACAAATGGTTGAAAGAAGATGGCATTATGTTGCCGTCACATGCAGCCATTTATGCTTGTCCGGTGAACATGACCGATTTCTGCAAGGAGAACATCGACTGCTGGACTGATGTGTATGATTTTGATTTCACACCGTTATTCGAGCAGAAAGTTGCGGCTCTTTTGCAGCAACCAACAGTGTCAAATTTAAGTGAAAATCAGTTATTATCGAAGTGTGAACTTATGGCACGATATGATATGAAAAAAATGGAGGTAACGGAAATTGAAGAGATTGAGGAGCAAATGAGTTTTGTGATTGATAAGGATTCGGAAATGCACGGATTTGCGTTGTGGTTTGATGTTAGGTTCACACCAGACCTTAGTGAAGAGCAGTATGGGTTGACTTGTATGGAAAAATTTAAATCAGAAAAGGAGGATGAGGACAAAAAGAAAACTGTTGAAGCCCTGAATGGGTCGCACATCTGCCATGTTACATTAGACACATCTCCTTTTGTTCCGGAAACACATTGGAAACAAACAGTGTGTTTCTTACCAGCTACAATATCGGTAAAAAAATCTGAAACAATTTATTGTAGAATTTCTCTAAGTCAAGAAACCTCTAACAAAAGGCATTATAACATATCTTTAGAAATGCTCGAAGATTTCGAGTCGAGTGGTTCCGATCTTGAGGAAGAGGATGAAGATCATCCAGTGCCGTGTAATTGCGGCTCTGGTAGGTGTAATCTCATTCTCGCAATCATGGAGAAGTATGACGCTGAGCAGACGGAGCTTGAAATGGAGGCAGAGTTTACGGATGTTGCTGCAGAGGTGCATGCAGCACAGACTTTAGACAATGACTCCTCAATTTTAGAATCTGACGTGTCCACAAAAGATGATTCATGTTCCAACAGCATGAAGGAAGATAAATAAATCTGGAGTTTCATTTTTTGTTAGTGTCAGTTTTTATCATTATATATTATTATTTATCAGCAGAAAACTTGCCTGTCTAAAACAGTTTCTAAGATTGTGATATTGAAATGGTTCAATATAATTTTATTCATACATGGAGTAAATGACCTTTAACTTTTAAGAAGTGCATTTATTCAATATTGAGTTGGTGATAGCTATGTAAATGATTGCATAGTAGATGTATTCAAAAAGAATCATTTACCTAGTTCATGATGATTTAGAAGAGTATTTAGTTAGCTCATGACATTCAAGAAGAACATTTATTATGTTTATCATATGTTTAACTTTAAGAAAAGCATTTATTGAGCTCATGATATACATGTATGTACTTTAGAAGAGCATTCATTAAATCCATAGTTGTTAAGACGAGCATTTTTTGAGCTTATGATATTTAAGGAGAGCATTTATTATACGAGTTCATGATATTTAAGGAGGGCATTTATTGAGTTTGTTTAATAACATTAAGGAAAGCATTTTTTGAGCTCATGATATTTAAGAAGTGGATTTATTAAGTTCATGACATTTAAGAAGAGCAACATTTATTTAGTTCATGATATTTAAGAAGAGCATTAATTTATTAAGTTCATGATATTTAAGAAGATTATTAACTTTAAGAAAAGCATTTATAGAGCTCATGATATACATGTACCTAAAAAGTACATTTATTGAATCCATAGTATTTAAGAAGAGCATTTTTTGAGCTTATGATAGTTAAGGAGAGCATTTATTATATGAGTTCATGATATTTAAGGAGAACATTTATTGAGTTTGTTTTATATTTAGGTAAGCATTTTTTGAGCTCATGATATTTAAGAAGTGCATTTATTAAGTTCATGACATTTAAGAGGAGCATTCATGACATTTAAGAAGAACATTTATTAAGTTCATGATATTTAAGAAGAGCATTAATTTTATTAAGTTCATGATATTTAAGAAGATTATTAATTATATAAGTTCATGATATTTAAAGAGGGCATGTATTAAGTTCATTATGTATTTAAGGAGAACATTTATTGAGCTCATGATATTTAAAAAGAGCATTTATTGGGCAAATGATATTTAAGGAGGGCATTTATTGAGTTCATGATATTTAAGAAGAGCATTTTTTTAGCTCATTAAAATACTGTTTGAAAAAGGCATAGAATGAAACAAAAAAAAATTGAGCTCATGATATTTAAGAACAGCAGTTCTTGAGCTTGTTTTATATTTAAGAAGAGCATTTATTGTGTCAATGATATTTAAAAAGTGCAGTTATTAAGTTCATGATATTTAAAGAGAGGATTAATTAAGTTCATGATATTTAAAAATAGCATTCATTGTGTCAATGATATTTAAGAAGAGCATTTATTGTGTCAATGATATTTAATAAGAGCATTTATTAAGTTCATGATATTTAAGAAGAGGATTTATTAAGCTCATGATATTTAAGAAGAGTATTAAATAAGTTCATAATGTTTAAGAAGTGCGTTCAAGATATTAATAAAGAGCATTTATTAAGTTCATGATATTTAAGAAGTGCATTTATTAAGTTCATGATATTTAAGAAGTGCATTTGACTGATTACTACGTAGGAATTCTTATTTTATTGCACTCTTTTCTAAGATTTTTTCTCTTCTATTAGAATTATTTTCTAATTTTCTTCTGGATTCAACATGCTGCATGGTAATAAATCGTAGATTTTTGTAGGACTTGGACATTTGCATTCATTTCAAAAGAGATTAATTTACTAAAATTTTGTTCCAACAATTTGATTCATATAAAAATCTGAGTGGTTAAGGCCTTCAACTTCAAACCACTTGCTAGCTACCTTCAAAGCACTTGCTCCTTTAGTCCTTACTAGGGTGGTTTCCAATCTAGGCACGTACTTTGGATTGTTTAATGTGAAGATACTGAACTGCTACATGTAACTTACTGAACATTGGTGGTTCTACTCAGGTGCCTGTTGGTGCCTGAAATAATGCACAGAAGGGCACTTGAGGTCTTCTTCCACTAGTAAAGCTGGAAAGTAGCAACATAACCTATAAATACTGTGTTGGTAAGACATGAAACCCAACCAATCAAAGCAAATAATCACTTAACATGAATTGTGCAAATGGGTCAAATTTCATAGTATAACAACATTTGCAACATCCCTCCCTACAAACTCTGAATTTATATTTATTTTGAAACTCTTCATGTTTTTACTTATGGCACATTACTAGTTATTAAAGATGTTTATGCTAGGGGAATAATTATATGGAAAACTCTTTGCCAAAAAATAAAGATAATGATATTAATGATTATGTTTAAAGCTACAATAATTGATTTCATGAAAGAGAAACTTATTACCAATAACCAATAATAATTATTAGTCCCCTACCGGTTTACCGGAGGGGACTTTAGGTTTACCCTCCGTCCGTCTGTCCGTCCGTCCGTCCGTCTGTCTGTCAGTCCGTCAGTCCGTCCGTCCACCAAACTGTATCCCGCGATAACTTGAAAAGAACTGAAAATATTTTTATGAAACTTGATATATGGATAGATGGCAGTATGGAGATTATGCACGTCTTTTTCTTTTCTTCCTATGTTGAAAATTCTGGTTGCTATGGCAACAAATAGGCTAAATTTATGGCAAATTTTACACATAAACTGGATCCAGTGATAACGCAAAAAGTACTGGAAATATTTTTATGAAACTTAAAATATGGGTAGATGGTAGTCTGGAGATTATGCACGTCTTTTTCTTTTCTTCCTATATTGAAATTCTGGTTGCTATGGCAACAAATAGACTGAAAATATGGCAATTTTTACACATAAACTGGATCCAGTGTTAACGCAAAAAGTAATAGAAGTATTTTTATGAAACTTGTAATATGTGTAGATGGCAGTCTGGAGATTATGCACATCTTTTTCTTTGTAAATTCTGGTTGCTATGGCAACACATAGACTGAAAATATGGCAAATTTTACACATAAACTGAATCCAGTGATAACTTAAAAAGTACTGGAAATATTTTTATGAAACTTGACATATGGGTAGATGGCAGTCTTGTGATTATGCATCTCTTATCTGTTCTTCTTATTTTGAAAAAATATTGGTTGCCTTGGCAACAAATAGGCTTAAAACATGGCAAATATAACAATATTTGTGATGAGTCAAAAAGAGCTGAAAATTTTTATGAAATTGCATCTTTAATTCCAGAGTTATCTCCTCTTTAAGAATTTTGCTTTTTAAATTGTTATATTTTGGTAACGGATGTTTCAAATATTAAATTTAGAGTGTCCTTCAGTCTGTCTGTCTTTTTAACAAAACTGTTTCCTGTGATCACTTTTAAAGAAATTTTCCAACAAATTTACTATAAAAACATCAGTGAATGGCCAATGGCCCTTCAGAATGTTGATGGGGTTCCATCCGGTAGGGGACTTATGGATTGCTTGCAATACTATGATAATTGCTTGTTCTACATTGTATTTACAAATTTGTAAACAATTGTTAAAGCTGGTAAAATAGTTACTGTGAATGGTACCTTAATGTCATAAAGAATATATCTTTAAACCAGGATAGATGTTTGTTTTGTATATCTTTTCCACTTTCCCTGATGATTTGAATTTTCTATTTTTTGAAAGACTGTTATCATAGTGACCGTTATCTTATAAAACTGCATAATGCTATTGTCACAGCTTTGTGCATTTCTTTGTCCACACTGACTGGAATTCTCGGAAACTCGCCATCATGTTCATCTGTCTGTCAGTCTGTTTGTTTTTCACATTCTTGTCCAGAAAATATTTTTTTGAAAATGTTGCAAGAAATTTGAGACAGGTTCTACCTCTACTTTTCAAAGAAAAAGTTGAGCTGTTGTCATGACTAACTCACTGGCATTTGCGTTGGTTAATCTTTTTGCTTTAGTTTTCAATAAAAGTCATAGATTTCAAAAGATATACAGATTTTTTATTTGATGGGTTCTACATTAAGCACACATATCCAGTTTAATTAAAAGGTCAAGGTCACAAGTACTTGTAATCACAAAAAAGACTACATTACTGGCCAAAAGGTCAATGTACACTGATGTAGCTTCTCAAAACTTTGCATGTAGATGCACCTTGATGAGTTCTACCTCCAACACCCATTTTCAGGTCAAACGGTCAGTCACAGGGACCTGGAATGATAAAACTGGCTATTAAAGCAAAGTACATTTACCTAGAAAATAAAATTTTAACTTTGTAGCAAGTTGCACATTGGGAAGTTCTTCTAGACTATTTTTTCAGGTCAGCGGGTAAAGCACTCGGACCTATAATAAATATTGAATGAACTGGTCATTAAATCAAACAACATTTCCGTAGGAAACTTAAAATAATGTATGTATCTTTATAAATTCTATCTGACAGCACATTTTCGGGTCAAAGGTCAAGGTCGCATTGATTTAAATTTTGAGATGTTATTTTAAATTGCACTGACCTTTGAACTAGAAACTTTGTATGTAGGTGTATCTTTATGGGTTCTGGCAGTCACAACAATTATCAAGTGCAAAGGTCAAGGTCACTGGGATTTGTTTTAATAAGACTTGAAATTAAGTCAAAGATTATTGACCTTGATAGCATGAAACTATGTTTGTACTGGGACATAGGAAGGTTTGTAGATGTACCGTGATGAGCTTTATGTGCCCCCACCTTATTTCCGGTCACAGGCAGAGACTTAGAAACTTCAAACTTTGTTTAACAAGTTCGTATAGCCTTTTTAAAAAATGTAGGTCAATAAGATTTGATATAACTAAACATAAAACTGGCCATTTAATCTTAGAGCATTGATTGGTCACTTATAAATTATTCAACATTTAAAAACGAAAATGGAGAAATTTCGAATTAAGAAACATCCGCATATGTTCATACGGTTTTCACTGAAACTTTAATATGACACTTTCGTGCCATGATTCCATGAAAAGCGGTGTATTGTCCCCAAATAAATGAAGGTGTTCGACATAAATGAGAAAACAATGGACAGAATGGAATAAAATGAACTTTGAGTTTTAAAGTCTGCATACATGTATATCACGTAAGACGTAAAAAGACAAAATCAAAAAGTTGGCTTGATCATACAGCATAAAAGTAGGACTTTGAAAGACCCATAGTAGGAGAACTGGAACCACGTATCCAACTTAAAAAGGTCAAATAGGGTGAAGCAGAAATACCACAAACATGTTCGAATACAACAATAATGGCCTGTTGAACGATCTTCAAGGACCGAAAATATTACATCTTTTATAATATTCACGGGGCGACATTTACGGTCTTCACGCGGCACAAATAACATTGATGTGGCAATAAAATAGAGAAAACCGAACTCTCCAAAGAACGCCCGAAACAATAAAATTGAAAACTTTGCAGACTCAGTTTTAACACAGATTTATATTACACAATACAAATCCGGGGTTTGAATGAGCGTACTGGAAAAGTGCAAGTTAGAAATCTACCGTCATTTGACTAATTTTCAGACAGTTATTGAGGTTTAACGAAAACAATTCACTTGTCAACAGTTTGAAACACTGCAGTGACAGAATAAACTTTTTTCAGCAAGGATTTTTATTTACTGAGTTAATAAGATACAAGTAGATAATACTATTTTGTCGAACAATTCAATTGTTTTAATTACTAGCATATAATTATATAAACTTATTACATGCTCATCGCAATGGCCGCGGTCCATATATATACATGATGTATAAGTAATATAAGTACAACAAATCCTTTATTTTCTTAAAACAATTGACATAAATGTCATATTAAAAAAAAATAATAACAAGTCTGCTAGGGTACATGTAACTGTGCATATACAGACATGTCTTGTTTTCAAATCATACCGAACACGACTTATTATTATTTTGCGTCCAGGGGAGAGAACTAGAACCTTACATTTTTAAGTCTTCCTAGAATACTCGCCCCTTGTGAAATATTGCAAAAATCATGGTCACTTTAGTCTATACAGAGAAAGGTTTAGTATTGAAATTTATCAATAATAATGATTATATCCAAAATATACCCCCTAAACAGTGTTTATTTATACTGTATAGGGGGTATATTTCGGATTATTATCATTATTATTGATAGAATTTCAAGTTCCTGTGGTCTATAGTACGGTGGCATAGAGGTGACATTTGCAGTTTTATTTTATCTCGTGGCAACGACTTATTATCTTGTGGCCTCAAGATATTATCTCGTGGGCACGAGTTATTATCTTGTGGCCACGACTTATTATCTCGTGGCCTCAAGATATTATCTCGTGGCCACGACTTATTATCTCGTGGCCACGAGTTATTATCTTGTGGCCTCAAGATGTTATCTCGTGGCCACGACTTATTATCTCGTGGCCACGAGTTATTATCTTGTGGCCTCAAGATATTATCTTGTGGCCTCAAGATATTATCTAGTGGCCACGAGTTATTATCTTGTGGCCACGACTTATTATATTGAGGCCACGACTTATTTTCTCGTGGCCACGAGTTATTATCTTGTGGCCACGACTTATTTGAGCCAATGAAAATGGTCGTTTCATCTTGAACAAAATTTAATATCACACTGGCAATAGCAGTCACAGGAGGGGCGTGTCAATCACCACCATATATTTACTTAAGTTCACGCATTTTCCCAGAGACGTGCTGAATTTCAGTAAGGCTTATCAGCTAGTATATCACTATTAACTGTATTGACCACATTAACACGTCCACTGAGTAGAGTCTGCTCATCACTAATTGGTCCTCTGTATTCTTATCTTATGGTCCTAACGTTTAAGGATCAAGTTTCTATAGATGCAATTTTTCATAAAATACACTCACTTTTATAAGTGGTCATCACCAGTAGGAAGTTAGCAGTAGCATTGAGCAGTAGCAGTAACAAAATTATAAAACATGAAGTTGGCAGTAGCAGTAGCACAGAAGTAACAGTGAGAAAATTATAAAACGTGAAATTGGCAGTAGCAATAGCACAGCATAAGCAGTACCAATCTAAGAGAAGATCTTAAAAGAATTGACATATGTCTTTGAAACTTGTATACTAGTATGTCAGTTTTTATAATAAAAAAAAAGAAAAAGATTCAGATAACCCGTCAAAGTTAGTCATTTATCATTGTGACATTGTAGTATATCTTCAACAATATTCGAATCCACAGGGAAAAGGGGCAAGTTATTTCCATGAACGACCTTAAAAGTATACATCAACCGCATATATTTCTTAATTAAATCTCAATTAAATTAGATATACCGTGCTCATCCTTGAAAATTAAAATCACAGATTTTTTTAAAATCTATGGTATTCTAACTTAATGCGTCTAACTTGAATAAAGAAATCAATAAACTATGTACAGGAAGCTGCGTTCCCTATAACAGGTCAAGTAATCTTTACTTAAAAAAACTGACAATATATATATTCATGGTGAACACCTATACTGTGTAGAATTTTAAACATAACATATCTACTATCTTTGAAGTCAAAACATGTTCATTTTATGTTTACATGTACAAAGGGACAATGTAACAATTATCATCAATATTTTCTAATATTAAATTTAAGCAAAGTATATCTTTAAAGAAGAATGAAAGAAACACCTCACCATACAAAAAAAGAAGAATAATAATTATAAAACGTTCCCTTTCTTCACCGCCGCAGCGCTTGACCCGCCGCTCTTGTGAAATGATATAAGGTCTTATTGATATTAACTTTTGTTCAAGATGAAACGACCATTTTCATTGGCTGAAATAAGTCGTGGCCACAAGATAATAACTCGTGGCCTCAATATAATAAGTCGTGGCCACAAGATAATAACTCGTGGCCACGAGATAATATCTTGAGGCCACAAGATAATATCTTGAGGCAACAAGATAATAACTCGTGGCCACGAGATAATAAGTCGTGGCCACGAGATAACATCTTGAGGCCACAAGATAATAACTCGTGGCCACGAGATATTAAGTCGTGGCCACGAGATAATATCTTGAGGCCACAAGATAATAACTCGTGGCCACGAGATAATAAGTTGTGGCCACGAGATAATATCTTGAGGCCACAAGATAATAAGTCGTGGCCACGAGATAATAAGTCGTGGCCACGAGATAAAATAAAACTGCAAATGTCACCTCTATGCCACCGTATCTATGCCACCGTACGGCGCATATTTTCGATCGTGTAACGGTTTTTAAAAACGTTTCTGCTACATCTCAACATCTTTTAGTATTATCCGAGTGTTTGGACTCAAAAAATAAATTATCAATTGAACCCAATCTGTCTCTTTTAAAACTGGTCAAATTTTACGGTATTTTAAAAAGAGACAAGGAGTGACATCCGCCATTCGCCGCAACGTTTTTCAATATACCGTAAATTTGACTGATTTTTAAATGTACAGATTATATTAAATTGAGATTAGATAATTAAAGACCATCCGCTCGCATGATATGAAAAGATATTCAAAGGTCGGACAAACAATATGTAAAGCCGGTACGGATTCGGATTTATGCGCCGCAATATGCGGTCCTGTTCCAGAGTTCCTATGAAGTTAGTCAGATAGCCGGTGTAGACGAAAATGTGTTCCGGCTGTTCCGGATGTCTAACATCATTTAGGTGACCACTAAAGCTGCACAAACGCTAGACACATTGTCGTTTGTAAGATTATAACGACGATCGAGGTTGGTTGTTTATGTAGTCAATATTTTCTTGCATATCAGACTGATGTTACAGTTAGTGATAACCATGCCGGGAGTGCGTGCTTTAGGATGACATACTTTCGCCGTTTTGAATGAAGTTGCAATTTCATACGCTCGTGAAAGTTTGTTTTTGTGTAAGATGAAATTTAATTTCATCTTATGGGCTTTAAAAACAGTATTCTCACGAGTGGCGTAAGAAGACACTTTTATAAACAACTTTACCTTCAACGTGGATAAAGCTAGTGCAGCTCAAATACACGGTGACCTGTCCGGGCCAGTTGACGGAACTCCACTGAGGTCCAAAGGCCTAAAATACAATCATTTTGAATTTCTTCCATAAATTAGATGGGGAATTTAAAACAGAAAAATATGCAAAAGATTATTAAGAAGTATACTCTGAAATAAAGTAAAAAAATCGTATTTGTGCTTTTCCTAGCTCGATTTGGGTGAAAAACGCTGCAACACTTAAATTTTGGGTTATATTTCACAATTAGAATAATAATTCAGGGAAAGCGGAGTGATCGAATGATCTGAAATTTTGGACACAAGTTATTGGTCTAGACCTTCACCGAATAGAATATTAATCTCGAAAATTATGTCCAGTCCTTTCATGTCTGAAAACCTCAGTGGAGTCCCTTTAAATGATACCTTTTGACGCACAAGATTTATATTGAAAACTTTTGTGTTGCCCTTTTGTAGCCGTATAGATAAAAAAAAAACGAGATTTTACATTATCTCATGAATCATTTAGCGCCATTCAACAGCGATTATTCATTTTTATTCTCACCTGTCTCTTTCTAGAATTGTAGCTTATTTGCAGCAATAAAAGTTTTTTTAATATAATTTATGAACTTACAAGCCAGTGCGTTCGATTATTCGTAAAGAACAACAAAAGCCAGGATTTCTTAGTTTAAAAAGGGCCAAAGTTCTATCAAAATCTAAATTAGAGTTATGGGCCTTGAAAAATGCCCTTCCTTCAGTTGTTTAGGAAATACCAACTTACACATAAATACTTAAAGATCCTGTAACTCTTTTTTATGGTTTTATATCATAAATATAATGCTCACATGAGGATTTATCAATATTGTAAGTTTCAAAAAAGATGTTACGGAATTTCCATTTCATGTTAATAAAGGGAGGTAATTAGAAATTTAATTTCTATAAAGTCCAAATCAAATTTTCCAGTAAGAAACGAATGCATAATATTTTGATTACATATAATGTGAACATATTTGCAGTACATATTTTTTCATATTATTCGATGTTTGAAAATTGATTTAGAAGCATAATTAAATACATAAATATAATTTCACTTGGCTGTGGTAATAACCTGAAAGATCCTGTATGTTTTGTGATTGATACTGTGTGTATATGAATGAATGAATGAAGTTATCACATTGCAAATAAATTAAATATGTATATACTTATGAAAATAAAACAATTTTCTAATATCAAAGAAAATGTAAAATGTGTACTGCAAATATTTGTGCACGTTATATTTAATCAATGATTTTTGTTGTTGTTTTAGTTTTATTTATACTGGGTGCCGGTAAACCCAAATGTCACAGACTATCGGCCTCTGTTGCGATTGCTGGTCGTAGAGCCTGCAACGGAGGATTTAATTGGCCTGCAACGTCGTCGATCGTAGAGCCGCGACGGAGGTCTTTTCATGCTGTCGTTCGTCGTAGATCGTCTCTAGAACCCATTTTCACGCTTCCTGAACAATGGTTGACAATTATAGAGGAAAGGCACCTCTTCCGGGAGCAGCAGCTCTCTTAAGGGCCACACCCTTCGCTTTTGGTTAGGTCACACCAGCTAAGTGACCTAACTATAGGTCACCCATCTGGTGTGACTTATGCCTTCCGAGCGACGTGCACGCCGCGAAAAGATGTCGGAAGCTAATCAATAAATTATATGCATTCATTTCTCATTGGAAAATTTGACTGAAAAATCTATAGAAAATAAATTTCTAATTATCTCCCTTTATTTACATGAAAATGTTAAATTCAGTAATATCTTTATAAATAATGCTTGTTGTTGACAAAACTTAATTTGGGCATCATATTTATGCAATAAAAACATGAAAAAAGTGTTACAGGATCTTTAATCAAAGTGTGACGCTGACAACGACGCCTTGGCAAGTACCTCTTCTTCGAAAAGTCGAGCTAAAACCTTAAATCTTTTCAGGCGATATTTTAGCTGCCTCAAACAGGACACCATAGAAACGGCAATTCGTTTTTCCCCAGCAACCTGACTTCGTATGTCTGTAAGAAGAAACTTTTGAAAAAAAATCGTACTGTATCCAGTTTGTAAGTTAAGCATAAATTACAACGCCGCGACTAGATCTATTGTAAAAGCTAACCTTAAAATATACAATGTCAGGAAAGCTGAGAGATATTAATTTTTTTTAATCATAAGCTGTGACAACGATATTAATCTCTCCAGCAGACGATATCTTAACACGTGGCGTTGATTTTGTTTGAATGTTATTACAGAAATTTCATTGCGGTCTGTGTTAAAGAAGGATATACAGCCGACTCCACTTATAACGAAATCGCTTATAGCGAATTATCTTTTATAGCGAACTTAATCAGTATCCGGATTAGGACAGTTTGTAAGTTCATCAAAATACGTACTTTTTATCCCTTTGTGTTGTTTTCGTTGCTGTTGTTTCTTATATTGTCGCTTTTTTGTATTTCATATATCTATTAGTCTTTTTTTAAAGGTATAAGTGATTATTTTTGTTTTTGTAAGACGATATGCCTCCATCGGTTCTTGGCCGAGACAAGGTTTTCATCAACAAGGCTGTATGGGAGCTTTATATAATGTATGCGATATTAAAACTTCAATAGTCTCACGACTAGGTAAAACTCCATGGTGGGATTCAAACCAACCCCGGTGAGATGCAATTGGTTAAAAGTCAGCGAACGTAACCTCTCCGCCTCTATCATTACCTTTAAGACATTTAAAACTACCATTTGCTCTAAACCATCTCATTACAATGCTGATAGGGGTGTCACGGTTAGAAAAAATGCCAACCGTTTAAATGGCGACGTAATAACGGTGTTAAACGTTTACCCGACTGTACTAATAAAATCCTTCGATATTCAACATAAACTTTGTTTCTTTATGACAAGATATGCCATTTTGTTAATATTTTTGTACTCAAAATGATAACGATACACATCCAAATACGGAATAACTATTTCCGCAAGTGTCGTACCGTATTCGATCAGATCGGAAAAAAATACATTGTTGAGTACAACTTAAGTACAAATAACTGTCATATATTGTCGGTAATATTTAGAAACAATTTTAAAACTTTTCTGGTGGCTGATTTTGAACGCTTTTGTGCGTCGTGTTGGCGCTAGCGACAATAGGACAAAGCACCAAACGGCGCGTTGTCGGACTTTCGACTTGTCGTCCTGTCGCTAACAATGTCGTGTGGCGTGATGTCGCGATGTCACATTTTCGCTCGGTTCAAATCGAAGGATTGGCTTATAAACCAAGCGACAGGGCGACATCGCGACAACGCGCTGCACGACAACGCGCCGTTTGGTGTGTTTCGCTAGACACAAGACGACAGCGCCGTTTGGCGCTTTGTCGTGTTGTCACGCGCAATGTTCCAAATCAGCCACCATACTTTTTGCACTTTAGTTTTAAACTTATCTCGGTTACAGGTTACTGAAATTTTCTGACCCGTTTTTAGTACAAAAACTGACCGTACTGTACCCGTTTAAACGGATAAACGTGACACCTTCAAAAGTACATCATGACAAGATTTTGTTGCAACGAATATTCCCACCCGGTGTAAGTTTCATGATACAAAAACTAATTGAATTATTTAAATAAATGTAAATTATTCTTATGATAACAATCTGTGATACGGTAGCTTCATTATTTATTCAGAAAGGTAAAAAGAAGGTAAATTAGTGTGCGTCTGTATTAGTGTGTGTGTTTTGTTGTTGTTGCTGTGCGCGTGAGCATGTGCGCGCGCGCTTATGTTTATACCTGATGTGTTGTAGGCTCTAATTACAAGCAGAGAGTAAGGAATTTGTTGCAGAAAATAATACTAGAATTTTGTTTTAAAATTTAACCTTGCAATCGATTAATTAGCAATTTTGATTTTGTTTGCGCTAAATAACATGATTATACAATGAATAATGTTCCTATGAATATGATTAAACATCAGATATCAAGTGGAGTTATTGTTTTTCACACAGACAAATTTCATCTTAAGATAACATAAAACATGTATCTTAACAATGTATATAACCTATAACAAGATTTTCTACATTTTCCCTTTCAAGCTATATATATTTGCATCTCAACCATAACAAGATTTTCTAAATTTTCTTTTCCAGCTATATACTTATATCTCTAACAAACGAACCATGTCACAACAAACAAAAGCGACAATACCAGTCATTGACCTCGAACCAATAAGCATCCGTCATGATTCCGATGAAATAGACAGAGATACTTTGGCAGAAAAAGGAAATGAGATGAAAAACGCTTTACAAACTTATGGATTCTTTTATGCTAAAAATCACGGCATTACAGCAAACCTGGTCGACAATGTACTGGCATCCGCGAAAAGCTTTTTCGAAAAGGATGAGCAAAGTAAAAAGCGCCATTTCCGTGGAGCGAAAGGTGAGCTTGGTTGGATTAGAATGGAATCCGAAAAGTCAGATCCTGATTCACCAGGCGATTTAAAAGAGAGCTTTAATTACCATCCTACAGACGATAGGAATATCTTCTTGCAATCAGATTTTAATCAAAATTGTAAAAGTATGTATTCATTGTGTAGCAAACTGACGTATAATGTAACAGACGCTCTCTCCATTGCACTTGGTTCTGGACACAGAATTTTAAGAGAAGCATATCAACAACTCGGTCTCAAGGGTAACCAAACTTTATTCCGAAGTTTAATGTATCCACCAATTCCTCCCAACCATGACGTGAAACCTGGCCAGATTCGACTCGGAGAGCACACAGATTACGGGATGGTCACTTTTCTTTTCCAAGATGACGCTGGGGGCCTAGAAATGAACACACCAAACTTAGGTTACGTACCTGTTACCCCCATTCCTGAAACAATCGTTGTTTTTGTCGGTTTGCAAATGCAAATCATCACAGGTGATGCACTGGTCGCTCCAAAACATAAAATTCTCTTTCCTGTATCTGAGGCGGAAGCTAGAAAGCGTCGACAATCAGCAACGTTTGCTCTCCGGGCAGACGACAATTTCGTACTTAAATCCCTAGACGGATCGCAGAAATATAAACCAGTCTATTCTTCGGAATATTTGGATCATCGCCAAACGGAAGTTATTGTATAGCATGTATTGTTACAACAAGTATACACCTACAAACAGTCTACACGTAGTTTTCAAAAATAAATGACATCTAAGAGCCAGTTGGTTTTGACGTGTAAAGCTGGAAGTATATCAACAATAACCTTGTTGCATTATTTTAAAGATCCTGCAACACAATTTTTATATGGTTTAATATCAAAAATATAATGCTCAAATGAAGATTTATCAATATTGTAAGTTCCAAAAAGCATTGTTTGTAAAGATATTACCGAATTTACATTTTCATGTTAATAATAATGGGAGGTAATTAGAAATTTATTTTCTATAAAGTCTAAGTTAAAATTCTCTATAAGAAATGAATGCATATTTTTTAATGATTGCATATATAACGTGGACAAATATTTGCAGGACACATTCTACATATTCTTCGCTGTTAGAAAATTTTAAGAAGCATAATTATATACATATATATATATATAGTATATAATTATATACATAAACAACCTTAATTACAACATGCAGGATCTTTAGGTAAATACCAAATATTACCATTGAATAGCCCTTGAAGCAAATAATCTAGATTTCTTTTATTAGTTATTATCTTGCTATATACTATAAATATTTTTTTCTACAGTCATAATCATCGTTAACATATGTTCAAAAAGTCAAAATTTAACAATTCAAACAATCAAGAAACAAGCAAAGAAGAAATTATATCGACTGATAGCACGCTTTTTATTTGTTAAATTTTGATTTAATAAACATTGACTTTGTGTATTGTTGCTGTTTTTAGTGCCGACGCTGGTGGTGGGTTATATAGATGACAATAAGACAATAACCAGATGACCATTACTTAATAATTCATTTGACACAATTCTAACTGCATTACTTTATAGTACATTAATTAAGTTATGAGTGACACTATTTTCAAGTTTAAATAGAAAGACTAGATCAATCTGAGTAAAGTTAAGATCTGCTTATTTTAAAATGCAGATCTGATGACGACCGTATATGTTTAGCGTTCTTTATAATTTGGATTTTCCGAGAAAATTATTTTTAGCCATGCAATCAAACCGGTTCTTACATAGGCATTAGAAGAAGTATCAAAATACTGTTATCCGTGGTAGTTAAACAAAGTTTTTAACAAATAAACTTGAAATAATAGTCCATTTTTAATGGGCAATATTGTTTTCCTGAACGCCATGTTTGATCTCGAAATCGTGAAAATTACCTTCTCCGTATTGGTTATCCCAGGGTTAAAATAAGAAACCACATCGCTTTCAAATTGTGAATGCTCGCTGATGATTGGCTGTGTGAAAGGTCACAAGAAATGTTTTGGTACTTGGTCACGTTCAGATCTCAAAGCGGAACGTATGATTTTAATCAGATTGTAGAAATAGATTTTATTTACACAATTCACATGCTTAATTGCATGGCATATAAACATTACAATATCTGTTGATAACATGAACGGCACTTTGAAAGAAATGTATTTTATGCTTACACTATCAAGTTTATATATATATAATTTATTATAAAAGTTATAATAAACAGACTAATATTGTTGTTGTTGATGTTTGGGTTTTTTGCTCATGGAGTATCACTTCGTCCTTGTTCTAGTATAGCTACAATATATTGTTAAACCTCATGTTGTATACTTTGAGAGAAATAAAGTTATCTGTCTGTCTGTCTGTCTGTCTGTCTTGTTGCAGATTGGCCATGCATATGTGATTTTGTAAATAAAAATTTACAACTTAAGCTAAATAAGTAACACAGCTGACTGATCGTGAAAGGTGCACACAACAATCCGTTTTATCGGGTAAAGACATCATTGGAATTCTATATCTATCAATGAAATTTTCAGTTTCAGTTCTAATTCGGCGCCGCGAGGTTAAATGTAACTCAATAAGCGGGGTACTAGAATACATGTAGCTAGTTTTTTTATTGATATGTGGCATTATTGGTTCAGCGACAACAGAAAATCTGTGAAAGATTACCTCGCTACGCGCTAAAAAAATGAAGCGTGAAAATGAACGCTTATGAGTATCATGCAATGACAGATGTAGGTATTCTAAGGTATGTGCAGTTATGTGTATGATGTGTGCCTAGAATGCTTTGTTTAGGCATAGACATTTTAGGGTAAAAAATAATGTAAGTATATATAGTGTCACATTTAACTGTGAAAAAAACGTTTTTTCATGTCATTTGGAATACCATTTTGAGTTTCAAAGAAAATTGAACACACTCCTAAGGTACCTTTCAAATCTTGCCAATGTTGCCGTACCTGCTATTCAATTGGAGTTAAACTTGGACGGGCTTTACGAGAAAAACACCAAAAGACCGATATGTCAGGATTTAAACCTTCATCAAGATCACTTGCTAGTTTATGATAAACGTGATTTAAAGCAAATTACGAGCGATTTAATTAATAGAAATACGGAATCACTTAAAAATGCCTAAAAAGTTTGCCATCACTGGAATAACTTTTTTTCTAAAATTATTTCAAGAAAATGCGTGTAGCTCTTTGGCTATTAAGTGCAACATTTTACACAACAAATCCACTTCTTTTTATTAAAGAATGAGTCATATCAAAACAAACCTGATATATTTTTTGTTATAAGGATATCCGGCAAGTTAAATGGCTCATATAATAAGATGCAATTAGAAGGGAGACAACCCTTGTATGTCACAATATCAGATTTATACTAGTTTTCTCCATTTACAAGTCAGATTAATAACTGGTTGCAAGGTTGTATAATTGAAGCCTTTAGGCGACGGTTATATTGCAACAATCCGTTTACATTATTAGTTATAAAGATTGTTGACAGGTTATATGACCCTATATAAACGGCATTTTGTAAATAGCGGATCGGGTTATGTTGCGAATAGCCGATTATATACGGCCATATAACCTTTCAGCAATCTTTATAACGAATCTGTAATACAGCAAGCATCATTTTTTAGAGAAAAAAGTCAGATTTATTTATGAATCGACAGTCGTGTATATAAAATTATATAAACGTCACGATTATCAAATGAAAAGCGACGGTACAAACGTGCAGTATTATAAATGGCCAAATATCATGTCAAACACCCTTAATAATGACCAATTTAGAACACAGCAGAATAACTTTTTTAAGGGTAAACAAAACATTATTTCGTATATAAACCCGTATATAAACGTCACGATTACCTAATGAAAAGCAACGTAACAAACGTGCAACATAATCAGCAAATAAAAACTATTCTTGCAAGTAACTGATTCCGTTGAAACATAAATAAAAGAAATCTCGCATTAACAAATTAATTTAAAAGATATGGTTTACATTAAACATAGTCTTTTTTTCTCTCACCCGTTTATACTGAAAAGTAGTCCACATAATTTTGCAGATTTTGTGTATTATCGTCAAATATTTAAATCTATTCGTTAAAACATTATTCATAATATTAAATAAGACAAAATCTGTAACACAATTGATTTGAAAGTCACGATAAGGAAATAAGTATTGTACCACAACGTATATTACACACTGATATCTTCCAAGGAGACATTGACTTGTACGATAATTGGTATCATGCACAAGTAAGATCTAAATGATTCATTATCTAAAATCTGTAAATGTCTATCTAAAAGTATAGATGTACACAAGGTCACTTCTTCCCACTACAACCATCTTGTTTCCTCTTGGAGATACAGCGACGTCTAGCGGCGCTAATGGTGACGTCGAGATCATTCGGATTCGCTCTCCCTCGTTCGTTAACTGCAGAACTCCTTTGTTTGCGTGTGAAGCAACGTACACGTTACTTTGACGATCTACACACATTCCGCGAAAGTCTCCGCATCCTGTGTAAGTATTCCGGAAGAGGATTCGACCACGGCCGCTGTAACATTCAATGGCGTCTATATCAGTAGCTATGAATATTTTATTTGTTGCTTCATCAAACGCAATACCTTGGACGTTTTCATGATTAGCGGTGATATCAACTGCGACTTTGTGATGTAGCTGTTTATCTGACTGACCTATCTGCACGCGACCTTTTTCATTTTTCTCCATTTGGTGTTGAATAGAAATGTATTCTCCCGAAAAGTTGCTCAATGCAAAACAGCTTATATTAGTTTCTATCGTCTTGTAATCTTCAAGGGTCCTTTCGCTTAAAGATGACTTTAAGATATGTATTTCTTTACTCTCCGGTAAAGACACGCACGCAGTCCGAACCCCGAGAACAGCCACTCCCCAGGGTCGCGTTTTGAAGTTGGTATGACACACAAAGTCGCCGTTGTTATGGAACAATAATACTGATTTACTCATTCTATCGCCGATAATGATATCGCCGTTGGGAAAAATGTCGACCGCTCTGAGATCATCAAATGGCCCTCTGGCTCCAAAGATTCCAGTTTCACGAATAGTTGCATCTCTGAACGACATAACCTTGGATGGATGATGATCATTCTCGACCGATAAGTGTCCAAATTTACGTACTGTATTTGCTACGGACTTTAACCGCTCGTCCATTTTGAATGTATAAACGATTTCCTTAGGTTCTTTATTATTAGTCACAGCAAGTTTCTCAAATCTACGGCATTCTTCCTTTATCTTTTCGAATGTGATAAATAGTTGTGAGTCAGACCCATGTGTTATTGCAGCCTCAAGCATTGAGATCGTGTCTAAAATAGCCTTTACCGCCCTTTGTCCTTCTTCTATCGTATTCAGAATCTCGACAACACGAGATTGGTGTAAAGAATCAAATTCGTTCAAAAATGTATTTTCCATGGTACCAAGAAGCTCGATTAAGCTTGTTTTGAGATCTCTAATTTCTTGGAGAATGGCGCTCTTCTTTTGTCCGAGAGCATCACGTGCTTCGGTCTTCCTGGAGAGTACTTCCTGTTGAGCGTCTACGCATGCGTGTAAGCGTTTTAACAGCTTTTCGCCTTTCTGTTGAGTTCGGATGTCCTTACCAAGTTTTGCCATATCAAATACGTTCTCACACCTACGATGGACGGCAACTGCACAGACAGGACAACATTGCTGCTTATGGTCTTTGCAATAGTATTGCATAAATTGGTCTTCGTGATCTGGGCATTTTTCGTCCTTTATAATGGCGGCTACAGGTTGCGACTTGATTCTATTTATATCAATGAGAACATGACTTCGTGTAAGACGCATTCCCCGGTGGCTGTTAGAGCATGTTGGACACAGTGCTTCACGACACGATGTACACCAAGTGAATGCATTGGCTAACTTGTGCGTATTCTTGCATGGGTCGCACTTCCGCTCACCCTTCTTCAAGTCAACGGCGTCCATTACTGAATCCACTAGCGTGTTTGATTTAAAATGTTTTGCCCATTCTTCCGGTTTGAGGTTTGTGTCCGGTGCAGGTGTTGGTTCCTGGCATACAGGGCAGAAGAAGCAGTTGTCTCTTCTCTCTGACGTAATGATATGAGCGTTCAAGCATTTTAAGCAGAAGGAATGTAGGCATGGTAAACATTTAGGCGCTCGCAAAGTTTTCCGGCATATGGGACAGTTAATGAAATTGTCCGGAAGTCCAGGGAACGGGCGAGAATCCTCAAAATTTACTTGTGCCATTTTTTTTATCTGACGTTTGATTAATTTTCTACCCACAATGTTTCTGTTAATAATTTTTTTATATGTCTTCACTGTTGTTGACGAACTTCTCCTATTAATATTAAATAAAATACAATTTGTCCATCGCTCGTTTTCTTTCCTGTCTTACATAACGAAACAAAATACAATTGCATTTATTAACTAATGAGTATTCCTCACGAATTGCAAAACTCACAGATAACACTATCACTTTTTACTCTTTTTTTCGTTAAATGCATGTGTAATATTCCTTTCAGAAGGAAGCTCAGTGCTATGCCTTGAGAATGGTTAACATTTGTTAACCACAAAGTCACTCTACCAGTGAAAGTATGACTAAATTACTCTTTTTTAAATTCATATAAGATTTCTATATCGCTTATAGAAATAAAAGTGTCCTACCGTAACTTGATCTACTCGTGTATTGTTTTTAACACAAAGAAAATAAACGGGACCTAATCATCGAATGATAAGAAAAGTTCATATATCTAATCAATATCATATTTTCTAAATTGAAGTACATGGTGAAACACAATACAGGAATTATTTTATATTTCTACTTTAAGTACATAAACGCAAATGTATATAAAATAAATGTCACATTGAATTAAAAGCCGATTTTACATGTGATTTTTCTATGCATAATTTCCCGCTCATGACTTTCTTTCTTTTATACGAGCAGACATAGTATTCTTATTGAAATTCAAAACTGAAAAATGAAAATGTACTCGAAAATTTACTTGTTTTAAATATTTATACAAGGGGTTATACGAGTACATGTAGATGTTTATGTAATACTATATTGAAGTAGGCTTTCATATTGAAAAGAAAATGAGCCGCGTCACGTAAGCGAACAGCATGGATCCTGATCAGACTGCGCGGATGCGCAGGCTGGTCTGGATCCATGCTGGTCGCAAAACCATTATGTTAGTTTTGTCGTGACGCGGCTCAAATATTATACAATGTAGTAAATTATTTCATTTTTTTTATTTCTTTACTACGGTATTAACTTACATGTTGAAATTATACACGGCCAGTTTTACTATCTTGGGTCATTCAATAACTAATATACTTTAACTACGTGGCTTACATAGTAAGTTAAAAAATTCTTAATTTAAAAAAGCTAAAATTATTCTCTTTTAACTTGCTAATTAGTTAGAAGAAGACACATGTACTCTTTTTCTTTTTGATTAATAAGATGTAGACTATTTATTACCTGTAACTTTAAATTTAAACAAGAGACTTTAATTAAAAAACAAATATATACCTCAATGTGGCCATACCACGTGACTTTTCGGGTGCGGAACACGCCGATTTTTCACCCGATTCAGGTATGTTTTTTATTCATAACTTATTTATTACTCAACCGATTTTGATCAGATAAGGCGCAGAGTACCCGTAATTATATCAGCTTTCCACGGTATATCAAAATTCTGAAAACCCCTGAATGGTTTTTGAGAACATTCGAGTACAGTTTTCTTCTCATAGCCGGGGCCGAGGGGAACGGTACACACTCATTTGTCATAACAAGCGATTTCTAGCAAGTTATATGTTTTTTGTCACTATTTCATAGAAAAATACATGTTAAATCTGATATATTTACTATGTCTAATGTATCGAGTGAATGCGGTGATGTTTTAGCATATTTTCGTAAAGTTATGTTGAAATGGTACGGAACACACTGTTATTTAAAAAGATACGGTACACACACAATTTCTGTCTTTGAAATAATTCTAAAATAAAATATATGAAAATTTAATTTAAATTATAATATGAGTGATTTTTTTTCATAGTTATACATTTTATTAATTTAAACAAGAACCCTGGGACATGTTTTGCAATGTATCATTATGCTTTCTTCAAATGTTAATATGTATTTGTGCATTATATTTCAGTAGTAATTGTCCTATACTAGTACTTAAAATTACCTGGAGTATGTTAAACACTTCCATCTTCAAAGAATCATGTAGTTGCGTTTCAAATGATTGTTCTGTAGAAAGAAATGTTGTTATAATGCTGTGTTTATTGTTGTTTATTGTTGTTTTTTTATTTCTTTTAGTTTTAGTGAAGTGTAAGATATGTCTTTTTGCTTCCTCCTGAAAAAAATAAAATAATGTCATGACCTAAATCGCCTGAAAAATATCATTACTTGATAACATTATATATATTTATATTTTGTTAATAATAAGTAAGTCACTAGGTACAGTTTTGCAGTATCATGGTCATGTTTAATTAAATCAAAACACAGAAGGCGCTGAATTTGTTTGGGTCTCAGAATGTCAGAAAGGTGAAGGTTATGAGATTACAAACCAATTTGTTTTTGTATTATTAGTGACACCAATGCTGTTTCCAGTGTTATAAATGATAGTAAATTGGCTATAATGCTTATTGCAACACTGATATTCATTTTCAATTGTTTATTTGGCTTGAAAAAAAAACAACAAAAAAAACAAAATAAATGAAAACATGAGTTGCCTTAAATGGGATTTGAGCTCAGGACATCTCTCTTTTTTCTTCTTTCTAAACGAGCGTGTAATTATCCCCTCGACCACGGGGAAGTTACACGATAACAGCCTGAAGAAACCATATCATTTCTAAATTAAGTTTGTAACCCTTATTTATTTCGTTTAACACTGGTGTAAATAATCATGGAGCTTATTATTGCATGTATATCTGTAAAGAATGACACAATATTTTTGAACCTTTGACCAATCGGGAAGTACTTTTTCTTCCCCTGAGAAGGCTTGAAAATTAATGCGCCTGTCATTTGACTACCTTTACGCAGTGATCTCCCATTATTTTGTTCGGTGTTAGAGTACTTATAAAGGTAAGTAACCGCTTCCAGGAGTTCGGACTACTTTCTGCATTGTTTGCAAATAAGAATATCAGAGTCTGAAATTTCGCTACAATTTATTTTGTTTGGTCTGACGAACCCAAACAAATAAAAATGTAGTTGCCATGCGCTTAAATTTTTTTATGTTTTAAAGGCATGAAGCTTTTAAGAATAACTTTACAAGTGCCCTTTTAGGTATATATAAAGATATACGAACGGGCCACCTGAGTAGAATTGAACCGACGTTTTCTTTACGGTAGTTAGAAAAAACTTTTCTCACATAAAAAATCGAAACATCGAAGTCATAGGTTGGTCTCGTACCAACTTTCATGAGTATATTTTAAAAATAGAACGCAGCCTCCATTAGCATTTAATTTACAAAATGGGTATTAATAAGAATAATCAAAAGTGTACTTGGAGTGCACTATCCTCGTAAGACATTGTTTAATCATTTTATTTTTTTAACACAAACACGTCAAGCACACATAACTCCATGAAATCATGTTTTTAATAGCATCTTTAAATGAAAGTCCAAGATAGGCACTAATTTCACCCAAAATTTCTTACATGCATATGTAACAAGGTTACCTTGCTGTAAACTTACGTTACGTTTATATAACAGACCCTTGCTTCCCATATGCGAGTTTCTTCAATTTATCCGGGCTTTTTATTTTTTGACTGCACGCTAAAACTGCGGAAATCTTTGTCCATATGTAGGATAATTTGATAAATTAAATTACATGCAGTTAGTTTTTGGGACCCTGGGCAGATGAATCATTTACCAAATATCATGCTTTAGCAGAAAAATACTTTTAAAACTTTCCGCTGATTTAAATAATCCACTTTCATTCAAAACAGCCGTTTTTTTTCCAAAATTCTCCAGATTTCGATAACATTTTAACTTGCTTGTTTGTTTTTTATATTCATACTCCGGTTTTATTTTTTGACATTCATTTATATATTCGAACAAAAAATAATGGCAAAGAATAATCGCACATAAACAAGATTGTCACATGAATTTCATAATTTGTTTTATAATCCGAAAAAAATACATAATTATTTCAAAATGAAAAACAAAAACAAACACAGTTTTGAATGTATTCCGTATCCCTCCCTAAAATATTAAACATTTTGTAGCCAAATATTAATTGTTTAAAAAACATTTAAAATCGAATTTTTGCGCTACGTTACTCTCAAAATGTTCTCTTTTTTAGTCAAGTAATCCGGTGTGGTTAGCATCAAACTGTTAGGCATAATGATACATTGCAAAACAGATCCCAGTATTCTCGTTAAAATTAATAAAATGATATAAAACTATTGAAAACCAAATCACTCACATTATTAAATTCAAATTAAATTTTCATACACTTTATTTTTAGAATTATTTCAAAGACCAGAAATTGAGCCCCGAGAGTGTGTACCGTATCTTTTTTAAATAACAGTGTGTTCCGTACCATCTTTTCAACATAACTTTATGGAAAATATGTTAAAACATTTCACTGCATTTCACTTGATACATTGGACATATATAAATATTATGCAGAATTTACACGTGTATTTTCTATAAAATAGTGACAAAAAACAATGACTTGCAGAATTCGTTGTTATTGGACAAATGAGTGTGTACCGTCCCCTCGCACCCGGCTTATGAGTAAGAAAACTGTACTCGAATGTTCTCAAAAACCATTCAGGGGTTTTTCAGAATTTGTGATATACCGTGGGAAAGCTGATATAATTACGGGTACTCTGCGCCTATCTGATCAAATTCGGGTTGAATAATAAATAAGTTATGAATAAAAAACATACCTGAATCGGGTGAAAAATCGGCGTGTTCCGTACCCGAAAAGTCACGTGGTATGGCCACATTGTACCTGTTTCTTTGTATTTTATATTGGGTACAAACGGGAGATAGTCCTGTTACAGTAACTCCCAAATTATAACTACAGTTACCTCCCTTTTTATTCCCTAGTGCAGTTAACACTCAATTTTCTCCGGACAATGTTCAGTCAATTATTTTTGTATAATCACAAGAATTTGAAACATACATTTAATGCATGCAGTCAGGACAGAACAGGGACTCGTTACGCGGGACAATTCGCTTCCAGACTGCTTCGGTAATTTCTCGATGATGTGGTGGGCTGTTGCATTAACTTTGATTACAAGACATTTTTTATTTATTTATTTATTATTTGGAGGGGATGGGATACGTCGCACCAACACGTACAGTACATGTCATATGGCGACATGGCGACTTTCCAGCTTTACTCGCCAAGGAAGAGACCTCAGGTGCACCTCCATGTATAATCATCCGACCAATGCGAGCATCTGAGTATAACCACCGAACTTCCGTAAACTAGCTGGATAGTTTTCTCACATGAAATAATCCAAACTTCCTAACAGGATTCGAATCCACAGCGCTAAGGGGCAAGTGATTTCAACCCAAACATTAACTACCAGACCCCAGACGCCCCTTAAATCAATGTCGACCTTAACTGCTATATAACAGCGGTGTATTGAACGAAATATGATTTCTTTTTCAGTCTTAATAATATCACAATATATATGTGCAAATACACTTTAATATCCGATGAAATGCATTCCTTCAGAGTAAAAGATTAAATGGTACTTTAACAGATGTTTTAAATAAATGATTTATTTTTTTATAAAATAAATGTTCTAAACTTTCAAAAGATTAAAATTCTTTGTTCCCATTTTCATTGTTGTAACCATTACACCTGTATTTCTGAATACCAATAATTGCTTCAGTATTGTTAAAAAAGCTATAATTTTAGAAAAGTTTATGTTATTATCATTTTCAATATTTTCATAAATTTAAACGCAGATTTGAAAAATTAATCGCGCTTTTTAATTTAATTATTTGTACTGTAAAATGAAGTGTTATTTATAAAAGAAAGAAAGACAGGTTTTAAATGGCTGTTCCGACTTAACATTGTGTAATTTGGACTGTTCTTTGACCCGGATTTATTTTTACTAAATTAAAGACCATCGTAAATTTAAAGTGCTCATTATTATAAACACATATTAAGAACACATGCTCCTTTCAATATTTTAGTACAATAAAGCGCTTAATCTCCAAATAACATTTTTTGTGAGCCGCCATTGATCGATAAGAATTTAGGATTTATTTACAAAATTTAAAACTCTTTGTATTTTAAAAAACTGATCATCAAAATTGAATGGAGGCCGATTAGAATAAATAAACAAAAACCTACAACCGGTTTAAAAAGAGTGTGCTACTTATGTTTGAATAGATTTAAGTTTAAAGACCAAATAAGCTTTGTTAAGAAAAACATTTTTTCGTCCCATGTTTTACTTTAAAAACATGAACTGAAAGTACAAATGATTTAGAAGACAACTCTAACACCTCTTACACTAAGAGCAAAAGAGTGAATTTGAGAAGAAACGAAAAGAAAAAAATCAATGCCAGTTTATAATAACCCTTCTATCAATTTATTATACCCATGCAACCAGTGCAGACCATGATGTAACGTCCATTTGTTCGCTTTGTAGTAAATACACTTTTTTTTAAATAGCATTGTACAGACTGAAATATGGAATATGGACAATTCATTTTAGATATTAGCGTGGTAAATAATAAGTAAGGCCGTAGATCGAAGATAACCAATACAGATCGAAGATAACCAATGCAGATCGAAGATAACCAATTTAGACCGAAGATAACCAATACAGATCGAAGATAACCAATACAGATCGAAGATAACCAATACAGATCGAAGATAACCAATACAGATCGAAGATAACCAATACAGATCGAAGATAACCAATACAGATCGAAGATAACCAATGTAGACCGAAGATAACCAATTCAAATGGAAGATAACCAATTCAGATTGAATATAAACAAATTTAAGAAGACTGACGATAACCAAAGGAGACCAAACATAACCAAATCAGATCTAATTAACATAACCGATTCAGATCGGACAAAACGATACAGATCGAACATAACCAACTGACATTGAACATAACCAATTCAGATTGGACATAACCGTTCAGATCTAACATAACTGTTTTAGACCGAACATAATCAATACAGACCGAAGGTAACCAATACAGATCGAACATAGCCGTTTTAGATCGAACATAACCAATGCAGACCGAAGCTAACCAATTCATATTGAACATAACCAATACAGATCGAGATCGAACGAAACCAAAACTGGTCAAACATAACCAATACAGATCGAATACAACCAATTCAGATCAGACATAATTAATGCAGATCGAACATAACCAATACTGATAGAACATACCAATACAAACGAATGAGCAGCTAACGCGCAAGAAAACTGCCCAATGGATTTCCAGGTATAGATTTTTTTCAATGTAAAGTTTAAAAAAAGGTAATTCGTATTGTTTTCTTATCATGATATTTTTTTAAATTATACTGAAATATATATTCATATATATATTCATATATTCGTAATGTTTAATGTGACATAATACCTGAAAATTTTACCGATAGAAGTGTTTAAATTTTTCAAATTAAAGGACTGAGAAAAGTCATGTTTGTTGAACAAAAATGTTACAGAAAGGAAGAAGAAAATCAACAACAAAAAACAACACCAACAATAAATAAAAAGAAAACGAGAACATTTGGTGCAAGCGACGTTTGTATAGTATTACTTCAGATTTTATTCCTTATTCCGAATTAAATTAATTAGATTAAGTTATATTCAATTAAAAGCTGTCTGCATCTTAAAATTCACACCATTCATATTAACTTACTTTGTTGTAAAGAAAAAAAAAAGCTTTATCTCTATATGAATTGATTATCTTACAAAATTCCTAAGTTTATATGATATTCGATGTATTAAAAGTATAAACTGTAAACACTTTTGAAAGTGGTTGTACAATTTTAATAAAATGAGTAGGTAGGATTAGCACTAAAATCCGTTATTGTTACGTTCTAATACAGATTTTAAAACTGTTTCTAAATATGGCGATTTTTTTCATTTGAAGAAATCTAAATCATGTATGTAAGTGCCAACGTGGAGAAGCATATAAACAATATCTTCATAAGTGAGTATATATTTGAATTTCATGTTGAAAAAAAAATTGTTCATTATTATGTCATATATACATTTATTATATACTTAGAAATGAAATATTGAAAAATATTGATGAAATAAAATGCGTATTTTCATTTTCCGTATTTTCACTGTAAAAATTTATTTTTCACTGTAGTGAAACATATTTTCCGTATTTTCACTGGTGTCTTGCCGGACTACTTTCTTTTAAATTCTGCCAGTGCACAAAATTTAAGGGAAAGTCTTTCAAATTTAATGTCAAAAAAGAGGAAAATGTATATAATAAACAGAAAATTCTAGCTTTTTCTATAAATACATGATTTATTTTCATCTTGTGGCATGAAAATTACCATATTTCACTCGTGGCTACCGCCACTCGTGAAATATTTAATTTCATACCACTCGATGAAAATAAATCATGTATTTATAGACAAAACTTGAATATCCTCTATGTATTAATATAAAAGTTATCATATTTTTGTTATTTTTTATGTCATATATATTTAAATAAAACATATTTTATATCGAAGAGAAGATGGTTTGTGCCAATGATTAAATATTGAAAGCATGTAAACAATGGATTATCATTTGTCATTTGAAATATAATTCACATAATAGGATTTTTAAAAACCATGCGATTCTTTCCTATTTTTAAAAAATTAACAAATAAATACATGTAAATAGATAACTTTAAAATTTCCGTGGTAAATTTGTACATTTTTTTGTAATAAACACATAAATCTATCTGTGGATGGAAATCAATTGCAGAATTCATCAAGTGATACCAGTAGCGATGCCTATCCTGTTTATGCAAAGAGTTAATCTTTATTTCTGTATTTCTTTTATTTCGTTTTAGGAAGTGCGGGCGTTCAACAAAAGCAGACGATATATGAGATATGGCGCATGATGCAAGTTGCAGATGTTCATACATGTAATGGAATGATGCATAGAATAAGATATTAGTAACAAGATAAATATATTTGAATTAAAGACATGGCAAAATTATCTGCTGAAAACAAAACAGAGAGAAAAAATGGAATTTAAACGTGCTTTTATAATGCCTTCATTAATCATCATATATGGTTAGATTCCAAAATGTAAAAAAAAAAAAAAGATTTGTGAATATATGGACGCTCAGATATAGTAAAACAACATGTCAAACATTACTGTAACAGACGAGATTTTGAACGAGTTAAATGATGAAAAAGCACGAACGCTTATACCCGCCATGGTCTTCTGTGCATTGCTGATGGCCATTGGAACGCTGGGTAACATCCTCGTTGTCTTTTTTTACGGGTTCAAATCCAAAACCACGTCTGCAACATGTTTCATCCTAGCTCTAGCCATTTTCGATCTGGTGGCTTGTCTTTTTGGAATACCGATAGAGATTACCGACATGCGACTTTTTTACCTGTTTAAAAGTGTAACTGCGTGTCGTCTGCTTGTTTTCGTCAACCACTTTGCTGTCATCGCATCCGCATTTACATTATGCTTCATAGCAATCGATCGTTACAGAAGAATTTGCAAACCATTCGATAAACAGATGTCGGTAAAACGCGCGAGAATCATATGTGGGATTTGCGCGGGACTTGGAGTTATTCTAGGTTGGCCGTCTGTCGCCCTTTACACTGTGGAGAAAGTAGACATTGCTACGATCTATAATAATGAACCGGTAGTGATCACTGGGTACGACTGTACTTCCGTTAAAGCGGAAGTCTATTCACCCTATCTTTGGACATACAGTGTAATACAGTTTGTTGGCTTTCTTGGAATCACCACAGCTTTAATCGTCTGCTACTTTCTCGTGGGACGTCAATTATTCAAACACAAGAAGTTTCGCTTCTATGTAGCCCAGAATGGCTTACGGCGAACTGCAAGTGGCACTGTAACGACTATGACGACATCTAACACTGAATATTCATCCGACAACGCCGTGACCTCTATACCTATCGCCGCGATACCGGAAGAAGACGAGGAGGAGCTGGAGGAAGTGGAATACGAAGGTCCAGATGATGACCCACCAATGATGCAAGAATCAATACCGGATCTACGCGAACTTTTAGAGTTAGATGCCAAAGGTTTAACGGATGTTGATGAAGACAGACCACCTTCAGCTATACGAGACATTCTCGGCGGAAGTGCTCCTAACTCTAGTCGACTAAGCAGGCCTAGTTCGATTCTAACTGACGTAAGTTTGAGATCTAAAGGTAGTATTATGACAGTGAGGAGTGTTATTATTTGTGACGAAAGTGAAAACCAGATTTTTGATATTGAACCTCGTGACAAAAACGCTATTCCTCATTGGCGGCCGAGAAGTGCTTTAAGTGACTCCACGTGGTCTAACAGCATCACGCGGCCCGGAAGTGCTTGTAGTATTAATACTATTTCCCGGCCTCCTAGTATCACATCTATTCATAGTTTAACTGAGGTCGAGAGCAATAATAACTCTCAAACAAAAACACATTCGCTCGGCGGTTCAGATCCTGTACGGGCACCAAAAGAACTCAAAAGAACGCGAAGTGAAGGTTTTGTGGAGTCACGTCCGGTAAGACGAACGGGCAGCAATAGAAGTATTGGAAAAACAGGAGGTATAAGAAGAACACTTAGTGAAGGGAGTGGTTTAAAAAGAACCGGAAGTAATACAAGTACGTCATCACGTTTACGACGCACCGGAAGTACTGAAAGTTCAAAAATGAACACTGACACGGATACGTTAAAAGACATGCGCATGAAAATGCTAGATATAAATACAATAAAATACACTTTTATAATGATTGTAATTGCAGTTGTGTTCGTCTGCAGTTGTGTACCATATTTGGGATTGGCGGTTTGGCGCGTTTACGCACACGAGAATTTAGTGTACGAATTCAATGACGTTCAACAGGTATTGTTTCAAATTGGAATAAGATCGTATTTTCTAAACTGTGCTATAAACCCATTTATTTACGGATTTTTCAATTCTCAATTTCGTGCTTATTTCTACAAAGCATGCTGTTCGTGTTGTGACGCCAGGGACCAAGTTTCGGATGCAGATTGAAACTAAAATTATTATTGTAAATATATAATTTATACCATATTTTTTTCTCTTAGACTGGCCAGTCATGAAGTACAATAATTATACACTATATATACATGTATACTTTCTTCCCAGCCAGCATTTTTATTGGGCGGATCAGTTTTGAAACTTTGAATCCATTTTTTATACATATTATACTACTAGATTAAGCAATCACACAGTTATGTGATCATGCTTGTCGGGTGGCATTTTATCATTGACCAGTAAGAATAACCAAACTGGTCTGTTATATATACAATCGGACTAAAATAAATGTAATGGGTAAATTAAGGTAAATTAAGGCTATGTATTTGATATGCGCATTTTAATTTCATACATTACGTTTCTATTTTTATGGATTTGTTGAAAATTGGTTTGAAATATTGATTTGGTAAAGCTAAGGTGGCAGTATTCCTTAAGTTAAAATTCTGTAAGGACTGATAGCAAAAAAAAAATGAATGTACATGTATTTAATTACCACACATTCCATCACTGTTTTGGTAAACTGGATTGGGTAAAAATATAATTGGTATCTTTGGTATTTTTAGTTGTGAATAGAATATAATATGCATGGTCACATATCGTGATTGAATAAGGCGACGATCATTTTCAAGGGGGGGAGGGGAACCTAATCGGCAGGACAGTAATATTTGCAACAGTTACTGCGCATGTCTGAGAAATAAAACATTTAAACTGACTGTAACAAACATTTCAACCATGTTTTACAGGTTGTAAGATTGGAGATGCCGGCGGGCGGTTGTCTAAGCATAGACACTTTCATCTATTCCCTACTCCTTCATTTCTCAGGGGATTTAAAGGCACAATATGCCTCAGTAATCCATAATTTATTAGATTCTTTAAAAATATCAATCATATTTAAATATAAAGGAGTCAGAATATATAAAATTGTTGACAACTGCAGAAAGTAACATTGAATGGGCAGTAATGTGTCGTAAAGGTAGCAAAATGTAAAAAAGTAGTATTTTGACTTCCATTCAAAATACTAATTCACTTTTATTATACCAATTGTTAACAAATCGAAAAAGGCAAAGATAGTTTATCTATATGGCAAATGTGTATTTTTTTGGAAACTGTTACAAGATTAAAACAATGGTAGCATTTTGAGGCATATATAATGAATATTTAAATAAACGTTTACAAAACTATCGTTATTAAGTGTATAATAAGGCATATCTACGTTGTTGTTGTGTTTTTAACTGAGGAAAATTGAAAACTTGGTTCCTTTCATTTGTTTTTATTACATGTATTATTTATTCGACTTATTTATTTCAAATAATTGAAACGATCATCCGTTTACATAAATGGTGTTACGGGTAGTTATTGTAAAAGTATATAATCTGTCAAATATATTGATAAAATAAATAAAAAAATTGTTTACTCGTATACAAGCATATTGTTGATTCTTATCATAACTGGCAGGTTCCTAATTATCAGTATTTTCGCTGAAGACCACAATATTTTGTCCATGTCTATCATATATATATACCTAAAAGGCTTGTTCTTATATATTAATACACATCTTACTTTCACGCCGTTACAAAACAATAGTATATCGAGCAAAATAAACTCTTTTTTCTGGGTTTCATGATTGTATTTTATAATACTGAACGTTTGTAACGTCGCTTTTCATTTGATAATCGTGACGTTATCAGATCCACATGCAAAACGGACATGTGTGTACATAAGATCAAAATTCGTTGACCAATACTAATAAACCGATTTTTTAAAAAAAATCCAGGTTAGATAGATAAGCATTTCGAAATATACATAAATCATTCCTTTGCTTTAGATTAGATAATAGATATAGTACACGAACATACGTTTTGTTTAGTATTTGTCAGTTTTAAACAAAACACGTCTATAATGACATATGTCATGTTTTTTGTAGTCTTATCTTTTTTTGAGGGCAGCTGATAAATGTATTTAAACTATATTTAGATATAAAACAACAACAACAACAAAAAAAAACAACAAACACAACTAGTGTACGTTAAAGCTCCGTGCCTCCAGATGAGCCAGAATATTTCAAGACAAATAAACTTGAGAAAAAATTTACTAAGATTTTAGTAAAGTAGGTTCAAGTAATAATTGACATCGTATGAGGGATTATGGACTGATTAGTGATTATGCAGTATTGATCACCTTATGCCTACTGCGTTAGTAACGCAGTAATGTCTATTTTGACCTCTTTTTATTTATAATGATTGCAAGTTCTGCTTGCAATGTGTAAATAATTTTCTTTGTTCACCTCACAATATTTCACTTTTAAAGACATTTTTAAAATGTTCATAAAAACTAGATGAATCTGGAGGTATGCTACTATACATTTATATTTTACTTATGAAATACATTAACAATTTCTTTCTCGTGTTGTTCAAAAGTATACAAAGCTTCATAATTAAACAGTTCCTTATATCAATCATAAGTTTATGTCACAAAAGGATTAAAAACTACGTTTTAAAAATCGCTAGGGGAACTGGAGAAAAGGGGAAAGGCCAAAAACAATATCTATTTTAGTTTTCTGATTTTTTAATTTTGATTTTTTTTTTGTTTGGGTCGTCAGACAAACAAAAGGTGGGAAATTTTTCAGCCCCTTTGATGTTTTTTATTTGCAAATGCCAAAATTTATTTCCAATTCCTTTAAAGCGGTTATTTTCCTTTTCAGGGTTCCCGTTTTAACCCCAAAAAATTTAAAGGGGGAGGCACTCCCGAAAAAGATTGAAAATTGGACGGGCCAAATTTTTTCGAAAACGAAAAAAATAGTTCCCTTTTTGGTGGGAAGATTTTTTTAATATTGTGTTTTTTCTTATAGATATCCCATGTTTTAATTAGGTCCTTTGATTTTTTATTTCAGTTTTTAAACAACGGTTTTCCCCCGGAACAAAATATATCGAAATTTAATAAGGGTTACAAACTCTAATTAAGAATAATATGGTATATCTTATAACATCCCCGTGGTCGAGGGGTTTACACGCTCGCTTTAGAAGCGACAGGTCCGGAGTTCAAAATGTAATGCGTAACTTTTTTTATATTTGTTTTTTTTGTTTTGTTTTTGTTTGTTGTGTTTTTTTAATTGATTAAGAATTGAATATCAGTGTTGCAATTAGTCTTATAGCCATTTTATTATAGTTATAACACTGTTAACCGAATTTGGTGACACTTTACAAACAAATTGGTTTATAATCTCACAACCTTCACCTTTCTGACATTCTGAGACCCAAACAAATTCAGCGCCTTCTGTGCTTTGATTTATCTTTATTTTTTAAAGGCAATTCGCTTATAGTTATAATATTTGTATATTATAAATAACAAGTAGTACGTATCTATATTCTTCAAATTTTGCATATTTTATATATTTTATGTAATCCAAATTGAAAGAAAAACTAATGCAAAGGTTTTAGATGGGCCGTAAACAATAGTTTCATTTATATTGGCTTTACATATTTTTATTAACCTGATTTCTGTCAGTTATTTATTTAATCAGCTTTGTAGATCAGTCAATCCCGAGAGAAGATAAGCTTAATTACATTAAAGCTACAGCTGTACAACGAGTACAAACGTTAAAGGAACTCCGCTGAGGTCCAAGAGTATAAGAAAAAAAAACCCATGCAACATTGGGATGTTTACATAGATAAAGTGAGACACTTCAAAACAGAAAGATATGCAAAAGATTATTAGAAAAATACTCGTAAAATAAATTGCTAATTATACATGTGTACTTTTCGTAAAACTATTTCAATTTGGATTATTTTTCATGATTAGATTAATTACTCTGGAAAAACGAAGTGACCGAATAATCTGAAAAATTTTGCAAAAAAAATTATTGGTCCAGACTCACATTAATAGGAATATAGATCTCGAAAAAAAATTCAAGCCCCGTCATGTAAAAAAAACTCAGCGGAAGTCCTTTAAAACAAGCCGTATTGATCGTGAGATCAGTCAAACTGGCAAGCCGCCCAACCAGGTATAACGTAGCGGACATTTCCCTGTAATAGTATTTCTACATTTTCTACAAATTATCCCCATTTTTTTAAATATTTTAATATATATTTTTATTGTTAACGCTAGTAAGGAATAACTTATTATTAAATGCTTATTTTATCGAGTTTTTTAATTAAAATCTCAAAAAAGCATGCTGTTTTTTGGCCGGTTTGGGGATCCTTTGAAACAAAAAAGAATTGGTGTTTTTCAGAAAAAGCACGCCGAAAAGGGAAGGGTAGAAAGGTTTTACTTTGGCTAAACACACCCCTATTCCGGCCAGGTGATTTCAATCACTGCAGTGATGGCAATTCGGAAAAAATTTCCCCATCGGGACATGGGAGGGTTTTAAATTTGAAAATTTTTTTATATATTACCAAAAAAACGGCCCCTTTCATTTCCCTTTAAAATATTGGGCCATTGAAAGGAGTACGTAAGGTTTTTGGACTCGTTTTTTCCCGTTTTCAGAATTTTTAGCAGGTTTTTAAAATTTAAAACCTTAGGAAAAAAACCCTTGAAAATGTTGTTTTTTGTTTTAAATATCTCAAGTTTTAAGTAAATGGCCAGGATTCCTGTTATCCAATATAGACGTTCATCCATGGGGTCACGCAAGCCAAATATCTACCCCGTTGAGTCTTTTCTTGAAAGTTTTACAGACGCTTAATCTTGTCCGGTCGAAGAAAAAAAATGCTGCCGTTGTAGGCAGATTACATATTATAAATGCTGCCGTCGATGGCAGAAATACCATGAAAAGTGGCTAACATTCTGACAGAAAATCAAGTTTCAATCTTTTATCAATTCCTCTTTTCTTTGCGTCCTTTTAGTCGGAATTTGAGACGTTAAACTATCATTTCTAATATTTTCTCAAGATAGAAAAGTTATTAACCCATTACCCCATGAGCATCTTGTGAAAAATGGCTGTTTTCATTGAAAGGTCTCCCGTTACAAGTTCAAGTTGCTATAAAACTATAAAAACTGCTTCAATACTAATCAAACTTGGCACAAATGTTGACTGGACCATTGCCTTTGTAACAACATGTTCAGTTTGAAATTTCCTGTTACCATAGCAACTAGGGGACATCTCAAAATTGCCAAAAATCACTATTTTGCGTTGATTTTTTCCATCAAAATTGATTTCAAAGTGCTGCCACTTCTCAATGGATTGAGATAGACTTAAAGGCTTTTCAGCATTGGTTACACGTTACCTTATGATCGACCTGAGGCCATTTTTAGCCTCCCACAAAGTCCAAAGTTTTCTTGGCAATGAGGGGACTCAGCCCCCCTTCAAA